CACAGTAAAATTTATTCTCTTCAGTGTCTGTTCTAGCACTTCTCCCATCTTTGGTTCAGGGAAATCTAGAAGCATGAATTACTGAAAGCTAAACCAAGATTTACTCTTCTTTCTAGGTACTAAAAATCGGCCACTGTTTCTTCTTTTGGTTTGTCTTATCTGCTGTCAGTAATATGGCTCTTGGTCTTCCTAGATAGCAGTACAGCCAGGGTTTCAGAGGGATACAAGTCTAAATTCTGCCCCCCTGCCCAGGCTCCATCATTTTACTCAGTTCCCTGGTGGTGGCAAACTGCAGGTGACAGTGGATGATCCTGGCTTTTTGACATCCTTGGCTCCCCAGCAGAGCAGCCAGGCACAATGGAGTGAGAGAACCCCAAGTTCAGCAATGTTTCCTTGGTAGAACAGGCAAGATATCTGTCCCACACAGGAGTGTAGTCTCACTAACTAGCAGCAAGAGCTAGCCTCAATAATCACCTTAATTTCTTACCTGGCCTCTCACAGGCATTAAGACATTCACAAAAGAACCACTGACACTTTTCTAAGAAGCTTAAAGACAAGGCACAAAGCTAAACAGACCTCTGATCTGATCCAGGAGAGCTCTTCTTATCACGTAACCCTCTGTATTGAAAAGCACAGGAAAGCTAACCAGCTCAGCACTAGCCTGTAGAGTCTTACCCCTCTCATTCCCATGTAGTTGTGCTGCTCATATCGGTCCCCTGGCTTTTGGAAAGGAAACGTACCATCATATCCACTAAGGTAGCCAGCAAGTCCAATCAGCATCTGAAGAGAAAAGGTGAACAAAAAATTGTCAGAGACATTGCACTGGAGGTAATATTTTAATAGAAGCCAAGACTGATCCAGAGGACAACTACTTAACTCAGACATATCATCCAAACAAGAGTTTATGTACAGATACTGTGTGCAAAAACATTGCTCTTTGTCTAAAAGCAAAATCAGGACAATTTTGGCTATGGACTACGACTGCAAGCTGAAGAGAAATACCAGGTGTGGGATTGAGCAGGGAGAATTCTGTCTCTGTAGAATCTCCCATAGCTCCCTATCCCTTTAGGTTCAGAAGACTCAGTCTGAAAGGAAAGATAACCTTGTTGAGGCAGCAGGAGCACACCTTCATCAGCACTAAACAACTAAACAACTCTATTTTGAGTTGCTAAAACAAGTCAAAATAGAAAAACAGCGCTCTCAGGTCCTTTGTAGTAGGCATCTCACTTGCACACAGGTTATCATGAGTTTGTTTCCTTTCAAATGTAGGTTGCTATGACATAACCCCTCCAATCCATAAGTACCACCCTGATTTTCTAAATTTCAAGCCTTTCAAATACCCAACATGCAATACTGTAGTTTTCCCATATTTGAAGTACTTTTGTAAAGACAAAAAGTTGCAAGTTGAGGTTGTGGATACAGAACGCAAACTACCACAATGTCCAACAACAGGAAAGATAATGGAGTTTATCACAACCTTTGTCCAAAAGGCAAGAGTAGACTTCTATTGGCCCACTCCTGTGATTTCTAAAATATGTAACAGAAAAGCAGTTTACCTTCCCCAAAGGAGGGTGGACATCAAAGAAGAAAGTCCGATTAATGTAGTAACTTCCCATCTTCCCAAAATGAGTTTCATCCCAACTGGAAAAAAAACCAAAACAACAAAACACAAAAAACCCAAACTTAACAATAGCCAATACTCTATAATGATGAAGACAGTAAAAAAAAAATCCAGGGAAGTCTTTTTACTCATGCTTTTCATCATGTAGAGGGTTACCACCACGCATTCAATATGAGACGATGCATTACATTTACTGGGAAATAATGGAGAGCACTTCAGTCATTCTAGGATGGGCTCTTTTTTAAACAGTTTGATATCAGCGCTCCAAAATCTGTAGTCTACCCTTCTGATTCCAGACTGCCCTCAGAGATGCTAAGAAGTCAGCCTGCCGCCCGCAGGCCCACAAAACCGCCTCCCCAGGACCCTCTGCAGCACGTCCCGAGAGCAGCGCCGAGGAGCGGGCTGGCCAGGGAGCGCAGCGCTTCCCTGGGGCCCTCCCTGCCAGCGTCCCGTCCCTCCATCTGTCTGGGATGAACACGGGGCCCTCCCACGCCGGGCAAGGCCTGGGTGGAGCAGGGGGCGCAGGCTGGGCGCAACCCGCCGGCTTCTCCCGGGAGCAGGCGGACACGGACACGGACACGGACGCGGACACGGATACGGACACGGACACGCACCCCCCGCACCCCGGGGCTCGGGCACTGCCCGAACGGAGGGGGGCACGCCCCGCCCGGCCCGTACCAGACGTGCGGCGGCTCCGGCAGGCGGTGGAAGCGGGAGGCGAAGCTGAGGAGGGTGACGAGGGCCAGCGCGGCCGGCCGGGCGGCGGCGGGCGGAGCGGCGGGGCGGCCCGGCCCGCCCGGCCCGCCCGGCCCCGGCGGGCTCCCGCTGGCGCGGCGGCATCCACAGGGATCCGCCGCGCGCCGCTCCGCGCCGGGAGCGGGGCATCCTGGGCACCGAGTGCGGGGCGGGGCATCCGCGAGGCTCGCCGGGGCATGTAGTCCCGGGAATGCAGTGCCGGGCTGCCGCCGAGCCCTGAGTTGAGGCCGGGACGGGAATGAGCGCCGCCGCCGCCAAGGTACGCGGCGCTGGCTCCGCGCTCTCCCTGCGGAGCGGAGCGTCCCCGCCGGGCGGGAGGGGAGCGGGGGCGATGGTGGCGCCAGAGCCGGAGGGAGCGGGTCCTGGGTCTCGGTTCGCTGACAGGGATCGCGGCCGCAATCGGCTTCTGGTGCCCTGGCTCCCCGGAAAGGCCGGGATGGCGATTCCCGGCAGGACTGCTGCCCCGATGTCTCTGTCTCAGTGGAGAGCAAGGAATTTGCCCCCACGCTAAATAAAACTAATGCTTCACAAAGCAGCATCGGTGTTTACTTATCGTAGTTTATCCTCGTGCGCTGTTAACACCAAGGCCTGCCGCAGAGATACTGAGAGTTTAGGAGCAAAGCTGTTGTTTCTGCTTGTACCTTTACATTTGAACCTAGCAGGATATAAGCAGACACCGAGGTTTCCCCTACACCAGCCCCCAAGGAGCAGTGTATGTGTGCAGCCTGCTTGGTGTCATGGGTCTCAGGAAAGAGGTGAAAGACTTTGCCTTCCCAAGTGCATCCCAAATATAGCCTAGAAAGAAGTGGTATCCAGAGCAGACCATTCTGAAGTAGACAGGTGTGGAAACCTGAGAGCTCAACGCACAGTTTGGGGTGTTTCTTCCAACTTCCTCAACAGTGAAATGCATTTCCAAAACTTTTACTCTCAACTGGTATTTAAGCCCAAACTTTCCTCACTGATGCTGGAAATGAAAACAGAACCAAAACAGAAATCTCAGTAGACATCAAGCAAATGCTGTTCTCCTTCTATTATCCCAGTTCCAACCAGTCTAATGTGCAGCTTATGGGGATTGTACTCCATAGGGTTGTAAATGCAGGCACTTCTTTTGTGATACTTCCCTGGCCCGTGCTCAGCTCTTCCTCTGAAGAAGATACAGTGTCACTGTGGGACCTTTCCACTGAGGACAAAACACTCCTGCTGTCTCTAATCTTTACTTAGATGATAATTTCTGTCTACGATCTGCCTTGCTGCTGGGAGCAAAGCAGCAGGAACTCAAGAGACCAGTCCAGGCCCCAGCCTCTGGACACACAGTTATTAGCTGAAGGACAGATTGTTTTCCATGTGTTTTTTTTGGTGAAATTCTCTGAGGGTCTTGAAATTATAGAGCAAGGCAATTAGGTTGGTACAGTTTATTCTGAATGATAGCACAGGCAGCAAAGTAAAAAAGAACTGTAGAGAGGATCAGAAGAAATGTCTCCATCAGCTGAGAGGCCAGAGCCCAAAACAGATGTGGTGAAGGACATAAATTTCTGACCCAAAAAGTCATTTGCAAGGTCCTCAGGAAAAACAACTAAAAATAGTATGTCATGAATACTGTATGTTTCTCTTCTGAAGCCATAGTTTCTGTTTCTTTCCCTGCAACCCAGCAGGTTAGACTTTGAGGGAAAAAAAAAAAAGCATAGCTGAGATTTCTAATACCCCGATCCCAGAAGTAGAGAATTTAAGAAAATCAGGAAATACTCTGTCCACTAAAATGTTGCAAATACTGCCATCGCTTCCCTCCTCACTTATAAACCATTTTCCAGCAAATTTGGCTAGAGTAATTTAATCAAAGGCATACCTCATTTAAAGTTATTTGAACCAATCTAAACTGCAAGAGAAGCATCAGGGTAACAAAGAGAACTGGAGCACAAAGATCTTTAGTGTCTCTGCTTTTTTTGTTGACAGACTATCATTGGGCAAATCCCTGCTTTCTTCTGCCTTACTGCCAGTCTCTGGAATAATTTCTGTGCATTCTGGGAGGGTAGAGATGCAGAGAGATCCCTGGCATGCCATGGGATCTATAGAAGGAAGGAGAGACACGATTACAGGTTTACTTAGAGACGTACATGAGTACCAGTTTCCTGTGTGGGAGAAAAAGACCGTTACACAAAAAAGCAATCTTTGTATTTTGCACAGTCGGTCTGGGAGCAGAATAGCACCTTCTCCTAGGCCTGCAATGTAGAAAACACTCTGCACTAGCTGACACTGACAGGAGGAAGGTTACAGGAGGTCCCATCCTAAGGGACCTCCTTGAAAAGGCAGTTCCTATTCCCAGAGCTTGCAGTCATTCCCTAGTGAAATAGAAATTCTGCATGTGGCTTGTTTTCTTGTTTTGTTCCCCAGAGCTCTATTTCTGCATTGGCAGCTGCTGACAGCCCGAGAGGCTCTCTAGATGTTTTATTTATGTCTGGATGAAATGCTAGGGAAATAAGCATAGTTCCTAAATGTGCTTCCAAGCTTAAATCTGGTTAATAGTTCTGGTATCGGGCCTGGGAGGAGGTGAGTGCAGTGACTCAGGATGAAATCTGACTGGCTGTTTTTTGTGTCCTGGGCACACACTTGGGGGCATAGTCCTTTCCTCATTGATTTTAGGAGAAAAGCCTTCCCCCGTCCCAGCTGAGGCAAAAGGGAAAACAAAGGTGTTTTTTTTTATTTCCTGGAGTAGACTGCACACACTGACCATGGCATCTGAAAAGGTGAGAGCTTGAACAGGGTGGAAGCGTCTGGGAAAGGTGCCTTGGTGCTATAGTCCAGGTAGAGATGAACTGTCTGTCTTCATGGCCTTCATCTCAAACAGCATAAGCTCTTCTTGTTTGGAAAGAGTCCGTGCCCTTCCCCATGATGCTGAAAATGCTATTTCATGCCATGCAGGTGGTTGGCACAATCAGCGCGGAATTAGTTTCAGAAATCTAAGATGGTAGAGAAGTTACCAACATCAGATAGGGACATCAAAGAGGGAAACTTCATAGGGAATAATTTTAAGGTCACCTGTGCATTGCTGGAAACATCAGGTGCAACTAAATTGTTAGAGGACTATCATGAAAGACAGAGATGCCACCTGTATGCCCAAATCAGGAACAGCCACTTTCAGAAAGGAGTCCTCTCTTCCCCAAACATTGCTCTTCCCTGTCTTACAGTTCCTGAAATGCCTTCTGCTCATTCATTCTTCTCCTTACAATACTCTGTTGTTCCCAGCATATAACCATTTTATCTGTCTTTCTCTCCTCAGCCGATACTTTATAGCTATTTCAGAAGTTCCTGCTCTTGGAGAGTGCGAATTGGTAAGATCCAGTGTTGAGATCTCTTTTTTTTTTTTTCCTCTCAGTGTTATTGCAGTATCCTCCCCTTCACTAACTCAATTAATCAATCACTTATTAAGAGAGAGGTCAGCAAACATGAGCCTGGAACAGTGAGGCATTTTCCAAGGGGGAGGGAAGGGAACACCACAGCTTACCTGGAACAAGTGGGATGGAAGGGAACAGATAAGAGGGCTTCATGATACTGCCTCAGACTCTGGTATGCTCAGATTTTGAGAGCTAAGCAGGGCTGGGAACGGCCCCTACTTGTTCTGAGACAGCAAGGTTTTGCAGGTGAGCACAAGGTCCCTTACCCTCTGTAAGCCAAGTCAGGAAGGGATGTGCTACAAAGAGTGGCAAAACTTGCTTTGAAAAATGCAGTGGTTTTGCCAGGACTGATCTTTAGTGCTTTGATCCATCACTTGCAAGAGCACTATCTTCTCAGTGGACCCACACCACCCTCCTTGAGGGATATGGTCTTTTTTTAAATGATGATTGTAACATTTCCCTGAATCTGTTACCAGTGAAACTAGTCTCACTCTACCTGTCTGAAGTTGTACATTCTGCTCTCCCTAGCACTGGCTCTGAAAGGGATTTCCTATGACCTGGTGCCAGTGAACCTCGTGAAGGATGGAGGACAGCAGGTAAGGATAGAGATACCACTGCTGTCTCCAAGGGTACTGTACCTGGGGATCCTGAGGAGGCTTGGGATTAGCATTAGAAAGTTCACAGGCAAAGTTACCGAATTCCTCACTGCTTCTCTGTAATTAATAGTTGCTTTCAGCCAGTATTCCCTGGTGTGCAAGTCAGAGGGAGAAGACTGCAGGAAACTAGAGGCTTTTTCCTCTTTTTCCTCTCTTAAACATCCATGACCGAATTCAGGAGGCTGAAGATCTTTTGTTCTTGCTTACCATGATATGACTGAACATACCTGGTGCACAGACTTCAGAGAATCTGCACTGCACTTTAAACAGACTCACCTCATTCAATTAGCTCCAGGGTACACGTGTGTGTCAGGGTGCATGTGTCCAAAAGGTGTTACATGATATTGCAGGGGGCTGCAAAGGGCTGCCAAAGGAAGGGCGGGTTTGCCAGAAGAGCTCTTCACTGAGAACTTACTCAGGGGTCCACAGGAGGGAGTTGTGCCCTAGTAATACCAGCACCTCAGTGTGCAAGTATGGGCTAAGGTGGAGTTGGAGAACTAGAACAGTAATGCCGAACCACCCGTCCTGGGCATTGCAGTGATGGCTTATCAAGTGATAAGGCAGTCTGGCCCTGGATGCAGTGATCCCTGAGCCCCAGTGAGAGCTTGCTATAGGCTCATAGTACAGCATAACTTACTGACAATATTAATATTGCAGTAGAGAGAAAGAACAGGTAAAAAAAAGTTTAGTAACTGAGTTCTAGGGGAAGAAAAAAGGATTTCTTATTGCTGTAAAGTAAGCTCAGGTTTGTTTCCACAGTTTTCTGCTGAATTCAAGGCACTGAATCCAATGCAGCAAGTCCCGGCCTTGAAAATTGATGGCATCACCCTTTCTCAGTCGGTGAGTTACCAGCCCCATCCCTGTTAACCATTCACTCCTGCCTGCTGCCCCATGTGGAGGAGGTGACTTTGCCTTAACTTTTCCCACAAAGCTCTCATCCGTGCACTAGAAAAGAGATGGCATTTATGATATACAATCCTACTTGGGAACATAAATAGCACATAGTCTTTGCTGGGAAGCTGCTGTCAAGGATTTGAGTTCAATTCTGCTTTGGTTCATAACTCCACCTTTCACTGAGCAATTTGTAGTCTGACTTAGATAGCTGTGCCAGGACTTGCCTGAAATTACAGCTGGACTAAATGACAACAGGTCACAAGCAGACATCTGTTCCCTGGACTGGTTACAAATTTCATTCAAAAGCCATTGATCAACTCTTGGATCAGCTCCCCTTTCCAGGTGTTCAGGATGTGAACTTTTCCTTGCCTCTCCAATAACCTTGCATTATCTCTTTGTTCACTACAGCTAGCTATAATTCATTACCTCGAAGAGACACGGCCTAACCCCAGACTCCTGCCCCAAGATCCGAAGAAGAGAGCCCAAGTCAGAATGATTGCTGATCACATTGCCTCAGGCATTCAACCACTCCAGGTACTGCCTTGTCAGACCTATGCAAATGAAAAAATCAGAAAGGATTTCCATCTCTGAAATTCTCAGTCTCTTTAAAATTGTTGCCAGCCAACAGGGTGGCAGAACTTCAGACTTGTGAGTTAGTAAATGATACCTGTGCTTAGCCTGTGCCTGATCTGCCAGTGGCAACAACAATACAGTATTTGCAACACAGAAAATCCTGTAACAACCCAGGGCTCTTTCCAGAAACAGCTAAACCTATATGGTTTTACTGCTGGGTCTAGGATGTTAGAGGAAGAAGAGAATGGAGCAATCCAGAGGCAGAGGCAAAGGGATTCCCTGGGATCTGTTATGGAAGGACAGTGCCAAGAAAAAGATACAGCAAGGTGCATGATTCAATGAGGGTGAGGTAAGGGCTGACCCAATCCACTGAACTCAGGCTAGGGCCTCTGATTTGGCAACTCCTTATCTTCCCTCTCCTCCCCCAGATGACAGAGTAGGCAAGATCCAACCAGCAGCAGTCATCTAACCTAGAGGTTGCTTTGCCTTTGCAGAACCTGGGTGTCCTGAAACAAATAGGGGAGAGAAAAACGGAATGGGCTCAGAACTGTATTGCATCTGGCTTTCAAGGTACATCCCACGTCCAAAATTATCAGCATTTTGACTGACCTTACAAAGTGTTGCACTGCTGGCATCCTACTTGACTTTTCAAGCAGAACAACAGAAGCTTCTAGGCTGGTGTGTTGGGGTCCTGCCCTGCCGGCAGAGACAGTGCTCTTCCTGCCCAGAGTCCCTTCTCCAGGACTGGTAGTTTTCCAGGGTCTCAGAGGAAAGATGATGCTAATAGGGGGCTTCCACTGCTGCACATGGAAGCCTGGGGCCATCCTGCATGCTGTAGCAGCTGATTCACTCTGAAGCATGAGAGCTCACAGCACTTCTTTCCATCCATCTGCTCCCAAACTAGTGCCTTTTGCTTTAAAGTTCTATATAGACATATATGTATATATGTATTTGCTTTTGTAATCAGACAACAGATTTCTGATGGCAAACCCCACTAGTTTAGCAAGTAGCAGAGTATTTCTTTACCTCTTTAGGAGAAGTAAGGTCCTTTTGGTTTCTTCAAAACCCTTTCTCCCATGTGCTGCAACGATGGCCCATCTTCGCTTTGGGACAGACACAAACTGACTGAAGCTTTGCATTTCTCCCCTCTCCATTCACATATTTCTACATTATCCTCTTAGTATTTCAGCTGCATTGTCTGAATCAGCTGAAATCACCCTGGGTCCAAAAAACTTGAAGGACCCTAAAGACTCCCATAACTAAGCTGTTGTAAGATTCCTGTTCCTTCTAGTTTCTGTCCCCGATTGGTCCTTTTTCATACTCTGCTCATGTCAAAATGCCCTCCTTCATAATTCCCAGTCTAAAATGTCTTTGGTGTCCCTGTTGAGGGAGTTTCCAATGCCTCACTCCAGTGTACCACCTCTCTTGACAGCACTGGAGCAGATTCTGCAGCACACTGCTGGACGCTACTGTGTGGGGGATGAAGTAAGTATCTGAGAGAGTGTTGTGTACCATTACAGAACTGAAAATGCCAGTATCTTCCCTAAAATAGGAAAGAAAATTAGTTGAGGAGACAGAGCACAACCCCATCCTGTGCCTGAAGTTACATGCAGTGCCTTCACCGTAAGAAAAAGCAGCTGCACGGATCCTACTTAGCCCATTACTGAGTGCAAAGACTTATGGAGATATTTACTTGTCCCTGCCTATAACCTGTTGATGGCCAGATTCTTCAGCTGTATCTAGGATCTGGCTGTTACTAGACAATGTGGAAGCAGATATATATTTCATCTTTAAGAGATCTGCAGTTCAAAGTGGAGTCACAGGGGCAAAGCTTGGCTTAAGAAACATGGGTTCAGTTCTTACCTCTGCTCTGTGAAATCTTTAAGCAACTTGTATTTTTCTGCTCTGATTCTCCAGTTTTAACATGGACAGATTTCACAGAGTTCAAGTACAAGTTGTTCTGACCCTTGCTGAGCTAAGGGCAGCTCAGGCTTCTTTCATTTAGTAGTTCTGCTTGGCAGGCAATTGGATCTTTCCTATAAAAGCTGAGAAAAAAAGGAAGGCTCCTGCAATATCCTGTGATGCAGAGAATTGTCTAGTAGCAGCCTTATGGAGCCCTTGGAGGGCAAAGGCTACTTAGGAGATCTAATCTTGGAGAATAATGTGTTCTCTGAGAAGGACCCAGGACTTTGTGACTTAGGCAGTGGGGTGCAGGCAGCTGCCTCTGTGCAGGTAGGCAGCTGGCAGTCTTGTCCTTGAGTCTTCTTTTCGGATTGCAAGTCTCTGAGCCTGTGTGCAGACACCCTATCACATATCAAGTCTTGACATTGGCAGGAGCTGCTTGATACTCCTGCAGTGCAAAGAAGTGATATTTACTCATCTTTTCCCAGCCATGCAAGCATCCCTCTCCCTCCCTCATGTCCTTCTGCAGCTTGCCAGCAGACCTGTTTGCTCAGAGGCAGTTGCCATAGAAGCAGTGTCCTTCAGGCTATCATGATCAGCTGGTAATTAAAAAAAAAAAAAAAAAAAAGGGGAAGAAAAGAACAAACCACCAAAAAACCCTAAAGGCTGATGGCTTCTTCTACTACTGACTGCTATGAACTCCCTTATACTGTTGTTGCATTATTTAATGCTGGATTTAAGAATTAGATTGCCATGACAACTCCTCTGTACTGCTCTTGAAGCCTGCCACCACTGTGAAGTGTGATGGAACAGACTCTGAGTTACTGTAACCCCTTTTCTCTGCTACATTTGCAGGTTTCCATGGCTGATTTGTGCTTGGTGCCTCAAGTTGCCAATGCTGAAAGGTAATTAGGGCTAAATTTGAGGCTTTCTTCAAGGGCACCTCCTCCTTGTGCTGGGCTGTCAGAGCTTGCCTTCTGCTGCTCCTTGTGTGTTAGAAACTATCCCTTCTGCCTGCCCTATCCAGTTTTGGTTCTTCTCTCCATGAATTATTCTATGTAATAAATACTGTCTCTTTTTGAAGCTCTTAGAAATAAGGAGCAGTGCTCTCTTCTCAGAGAGCCCTGGGGGGAAACCTGATCTATGACCTTAGAAAAGCTGAGATTGCCCACACTCCACATTCTCTCTCCCTGTTTGCCTTATATTTAGACTGCACACAGGAGGAAAAGATTCATCTGATTATGTTTGTTTAAAGCATCAAACCCATACAAGTGGTGGCTGCATGATTCCCAGAAAAAGCATAGTGCCTTCTTATCCTGTGCTGCACATTATATAAAAACCTGGTAAAGATCACAGAGTCACAGAATCGGAGTTGGAAGGGAATTCTGGAGGTCATCTAGTCCGACAACTTCCCTGCTAAAGCAGGTTCACTTAGAGCAAGTGGGACAGGATTGCATGTACGTAGGTTTTGAATATCTCTAGAGAAGGAGACTTCACAGCCCCTCCAGGAACTAATTAACCTTTCCAGCATTTTATTTTAAACCTACAAGGACAAATCTTTTATTTTATATGCCTGTGAGATTCTCCCATACTGGGCAGGCATGGCATGCTGCTCTGCCCTTCTGCTCACTGCTGTACTGGCTATCCAACTCTTAGTACTTCATCAGTTCTTTTCCTTTTGCAGATTCAAAGTGGACATGGGTCCATATCCCACAATAACCAGAATAAATAAAGCTCTCTTGGAGTTAGAGGCCTTTAAAGTAAGCCACCCATCCCGGCAGCCAGATACTCCTGCAGAGCTGAGAGCTTGAAGCCCTTCCGCTCATTAAATCTAGTCATCTGGAGTGACAAAGAAGACAACACCTACAGTTTGAGTGCCAGCAGGAAGCCCTAGTACTATTGTTTCTTTTTCATCTGTATGGGAAGAAGGACAGAGGACCTCCAAGGAGCCTGGATAACTAAGAGGAGTATGCCTGTGCTGGAATGCTTACAGCTACTAGTTTTTTCTATCTAATCTATCTCCATGAAGCAGATTAAAGCAGAAGCATCCATAATTGTAAGTTCCCTTTGTATGGCTTTGGGTTGGGGAACGTGGCCACAAACAACTGTGAGGCACTGAGCCAATTCTGGACTTCCCATAGGTACTGCTTCTTTCTACCATCTACAGAAAGAGCATCAAGGAATCAGTGTATACACTGTGCTTGTCTTTGGAGCTGCCTCAGAGCTATGGCATAGTCATCAGTGCCATAGATATAAACAGTGTTAGTCTCTGATGGAAGACAGCTTAATCCTAACCTTTGTTGGGTCCCATGGATCTTGTAAGAGCCAAGTCAGCAATGCTGCCACCCCTTGCAAATAAGAGAATTACTACCTGGGACAGAGGACTTGTACTTATTCCTTCTGTAGCAGCAGTTGCACAGAATTTATCATAAAGGTCTGTCTAGAGCAAAGCTAAGTGATTGTGCCATAGTCAGCAAGGCACAACCAGCTCTCTCTCACACACTGAAAATTATGTTCCTTTTCCCTCAAACACTGTTCTAGTGTTTTCCTAGTTTTCAGCTGCAGACTGTTGCCTAAGGGAACACCACCCAGGTTCCCCTAAAATCAGAATCATGCCTGTACTTTCACTAGGAGGGCTTTCCAAGTGGCAAGAGTAAATCCCATTCCACTCATTCCAAATGAAACCTAACACCTGAGTCACCTTCAGAGTTGAAAGCACACCAGAAACTCCAGCTCAAAAACCTGTAGGGCAAGAAGGGAAACCCAGATCCTTGTGTCTGGATTCCTGTGCAGGCTTAGATCAGATATCATAATGTTTTGGCATCCGAGCCCAGGTACCAAGCCATCCATAGGGGATGGAACTTCTGCCAGTCTGATACTGTATATCAGCTACCCTAAGAGATCAATACCCACAGCCTTCAGAAAGATGTTACAAACACCCAATCTCTTGTGCCGAGGTGGCATTCACCTACATACAGATACCTGAACTGCAACATTGCTTGGATTCATTTATTGCCATCCATTTCTATATTTAGGCTGGTGAAGAGCCCTTGCTGTTCAGGCTCATTCTGAGTACTGTGCATTATCCTAGGTCCAGCTTGATCTTGACTGTGCTGTTGTAAAAGGTTCCTGTACAGTTGGAGCCCCCAAAGACCAACACCGTACGCAGGTTGTGCTCCTCTTTGTTCTCCTTGTCCACATCCATCAGGTGGGTAGGAGTCAGGTCCAGCAATGTGTGGCCAGCTCGGGGCACAGAGCAGAGGTCACGGTGGATCACTGTGCTCCATGAAAGAGTATCTGAAGTAGAAAGTGGCTATCAGTACTGACAAACCCACTCCTAGTGCAAGAGATGAAACAAATGGACCAGACTAGGTGTTCAGAAACATGACTGCAGCCCCACAGTCACCTTCAGCTATGGAAACAAGGCAGGAGAGTCACTCACCTAGGCGGAAGACAAAGGCATCGTGCAGGGCTCCTGTGGCATTGCAGCCTCCACTGATCAGAACCTTCTGGTCTGAAACAGCCAGAGCTGCATGAAAACTGCAACCAAAGCAAAGCAAAGGTGACTACAGCAGAACCTGCAGGGGTAGCCTCAGTCAGAGCAATGGGCAGAGATGGGCAGACGTCAACAGAAGGTTGGGGGCTTAAGCTGCAGAAAGGAAGTTAAATTCTGCTTCTCTTCTACCCTAACTTGCTGAATAATCCTAGAAGAGCTGTATCTTTGCCCCTGCAGATCAAGCCATGATCAGGCCTGAAGAGCACCTCATTCTCTCAGAAGGACCTATCAAAAGTCCTATGTTTTGCTCTAGGGTGGGAGATAGCAAGCTAGCTGGGCTTTGTTCTGATTTAGGTGATTGTCCTGATTTAGTGGGCAATTATGTCCCATTAGGAACAGCATAGTTGGTACAGGAGGTTCGTCCTGTCCCTGTGCCACAGTGCCTCTCCAAGTACTGAGGAGACCAAACAATACAGTGCACTGGTACACAGCAGAAAGGTTACCCTAGCCTGAAAGGTAGATTTCCAGGGAAACTAAGGGGTCTGTACACCCCAATACCATAGGGGCACCAACAAGGACAGGAATTCCTGGTCCCACAGCAGAGGAGCCACTGTATTTTGGCTAGTGGGACAGAGATATGCAACTGAGTCTGATCGCCAGCACTGTTTAAACTTGGCTTCGAGGAGAAAGGACAGAGGAAGAAGATAGATCCTAGTCTGCAATACGATCTTACCAACGTGCAGAAGGCTGTCCTGCGAGGAGGGGGACTGGTGTGTACTCCATGAAACCTGACAGCCAGGGAAAAGGCAGGTGAAATGTCCAAAAAGCTCAACCTCATAACTAGACAAAAAGTTCAATGCTTTGTCACATCAGCAACCTGCTTTCTCTATTACCCAGCTTCTTCAAAAAAAGCAGTCTTGTTTTCCTCCATTCCCTCTATTACCCCACAAAGGTGGTGGTGGTTTGTTTTGGTGGGGGATTTTTTTGGTTGGTTGTATTTTTTTCCCTTCTTTTTTTTAATGCCATAGTTCTTCCAACTCCATTGTCTAGTCAGGAGTTTTTATACTGTTACTGCTACCTTCCCATTGAGCCTGCCTCACTCCCCCAAGTCCCTGTCTTAGGATGGACCTTCCCAAGGCAGCCAAGACTTTCTTACCCAGATCCAGAATGTGCATGTCACTGAGGTAGAGAGAAGTCCTCCGACCCCCAAAAATCAGCAGCTTGTTTTTCAGTAGAGTAGCTGAATGCCTGGGCAGAGAGCACGTAAGTGAATAAAACATCTTCAGCAAGTTCCCTAAAAACTTCCATTTTAGCCCTGGCTTCTTCTACTGGGGTGCCACAGTTTCAGTCTACACCTGCCTCTACCCGCAGCCACTGCAGCCCAAGGACAGAATCCCACCAGGATTCATGACAGAAGGTACTGAGAGTCACATTGCTCAAAACATAGCCCTATTTTAAGGAGTAAATGGTGGAGAACAATCACCTAGTATTTAGGGGATTACACTGATGGGGGAGGGAAGGTGAGCAGAGGTTTCCTGCTCTATTTTGGAGGGCTAGAATTAGAGCACTCTCACCCAAGCCTAGGCAGAGGCTTCTCCCCTTCTGAGATGGGCTGATACCAAATTTCATGCTCTGGATTGAAGATATAGAGCATGTTGCTGCAGGGTCCAACTGCCAGTGATGCCTTTTTGGGGAAAGTTCCTCCAAAAACAAAGAGCTCCTTTTGGTAGATAGTTGCACTGTGGTAAGTGAGCACTGGTGTCTTCCCTTTGGCCTGGAAAAAGTTCAACATATGCTTATTACAATAAGCACATTATTTGCTGCATGACCTATAGGAAAGGGGCCCACATCACGCAGTGAGTTTTTCAAGTCTCAAATTCCACTTTGTTGGCTCCCCAGCCAGATCTTTGCTGCACAGGCAGACAGGACATTCTTTGCATACTCTGCACCACCGGAATACTTGATAAGAGAAGGAAGTCAATCTCCCACAGGAGTTTCCTCAGAAGATGACATGGAACAGAAAGATCTCATCCAGGCTTACTCTGTAAAAGCCATCTTGTACCTTGCTGACAGGGCCCTCTTCTCAGAGTTCTGCTGTGCTCAGAGCAGTCCCCCATTTGAGAAGACCAGCTCTTCAGCATCTGCTGCTGTTCTCAATGGCATCATATAAAATGAGAGGCCATTTCCCTCCACTGCTTGTACAGTACCTCCCACCCATGAGCCTGGCAAGACACAGCTCCCTGCAGCAATCATTTTTCACCTTGCTTCATTCATTGTAGGCACAGCTCCTGATTTCTGTCAAGTTTGCAGCTTTTCAACATAGCCTTCTTTTATCTGCCAAACCCAACTAAGCATCTCAGATAACCCGCAACAACAGTGAACCGAGGCTACTGGAATAAGGACACAGGCACATCGATTGCCACATTCAGGCAGAACCTGCCACCCCTCCTGAGCTTTTGTTTGGGAAGAGATGCAATACTCACAGCCACGAGGAGCCATTTCCAGGTGACTGTGTCCAGAATGTAGATGCTGCTGTAGTCTTTGTCCTCCCTTATGCCCCCAAAGATGTAGATACGCTTGGTGTCAGGATCATAGGTAGCTGTGTGACCATGCAAGCATGATGGCATGGTGTTTTGTAGCTGGAAACCCATTGGAAGCCACAAATCACTGTCTGTGGGAGCAACATCAGAGAGATGGTGTGGGAGTTCAGCAATGCTCTTGATTTATCTAGATTTAAAGAATATGCCATAAAATCTGTACTCAAAACCTTGCTCCCCCTGTCTCCTCCTCTCCTTTGATTCAGGGCTAGAGGAAACTCATACAAAATTGTTTTTGTATAGGGAATGAAGGGGAATAGCAAGGTGAAAGAGAGGACCAGTGAGGTGCAGAAAAGCAACGCTCTGGATTTGTATCTCACACTTCACTAGTCACCACACACAGACTGGAAACTGCTTTTACCCCTTAAAATTCCCCCAACTCTTTCCAGAACTCATACCTTAGCTCCTTGAGGTCTCTCACATACAACCCCAGAGCCTCACATAGCACTGTCAGCTGTCAGCTCAGCCTGGTGACCACACTAGAAGATGTGACACTTTTGATGTCCCCTTCATGTGCACAGAGCCCCAAGTGCCCCCTCCCATTTTCACGAGTTGTCTTTGAGCCCCACTGCCCCCATTGCCTTTGATAGCCCTTAAGTCCCCACCAATTTCCAGCTTCCAGAGCACATCCTTGCAGGACTGCTGATTTACACCTTCTCCACCAATCAGAACAGCTGTCCCCGAGTCACTGAGGCACATGGCATGGCACCACCGAGGGCTGGGACTGCCTGAGGAGAGGAGAGCACAGGGCTGTGAGCAGAGTGACATAAGACACCATTAGCTGCCTTCCCTGCTGGGGAGAACAAGACAGCTAAAAGCTTAGAAGGAAGTGGGAAGGCAAGGGCCCCAGTCCCTTCTCTCTGAAGTGGCAAAAGACATAGATCCCTTTTCAGTTGGCTCAGGGGAATAATTGCTGTACTAGGAGCGACACTGTGAACAAAGAGTGGCTGGATGTAGGATGCATACAAGGCTTCTACTTCAGACAGGTTTGGATGTCCATTGATTACTCATCCCCAGAAGTGATATCCCAGTTGTGCTATCCCTTGTGTTACTCCTTGTGACAGAGGGCTATTCACAGACAGAATCTTGGAGATGCTTCCAGAGATATTCCTCATGCTACTCTGTTCCTCCTCCTTTGCTCTCCCAGGCTCCTGCAGTTGGCTGAGCAAGCTAAAATAGCACCTTTTAATCAAAGTCTATTCCATATCTTACCCTTTTCCTCAAAAGGCTATGCACCCAGAGGTGTTCCTGAGATTCAGAGGGGCTACAGAAGCATATTAGAGAGCCTGATAGTACTGGAAGCACTATACTGATGGTAGCTGCATGGAGGGGAACAGTATACACACAACATACTTGTTGCCCTTGATCACTGAGGAGATACAGGACAGAGCATGAGAGGCTTTTGATGTTAAAGGGAAGGACTAGCATCACCGAGTGACTGAAGAGACAAACTTCAGTAGGAACCAAATCCTCACCTTGCAACTCCTTCACAGCCAGATCTGCAGAGGGAACACAGAGATAGCCTCATAAAGAAAGCAGCCAGCAGACATACCATAAAAAGTGCTCATCTTCAGTATCAGAGACCTTTGACCTTCCTTTCTCCAACCCTCAGCACAAAACTACCTCACTGCAACAAACAAGGTGCAAAATCAAGAATCATGAAGAAAGTCTCATCAGAAGAAATCCCCAGAACAGGTAAGAGTAGGGCACACTTCTTTCAACTGCCATCATGCTGTCACCATTGCATTTTACCCCTCTAATGGAAGCTCATTTCCCCTTTCTCACACTGCCTGCAGCGGAAGGATGGAGCTATTTTTGCCTTTGTGAGAAGCAAGCCAAGTCCCAATAAGTCATTTCACATGGGTACCACTGAGTTATTGTCAAACGTGTAAACTTGGTCACACCCTGGAGCTGACTTGCAATTCACACTCCAGAAGCCTAAGGTTTTGTTTCCAAACCCCTTGGCAGTTACACTACAGAAAAGTCAGCACAATTATATTAATTATATATATATATTCCTTTTCATATTCTCCATACTGTAATAATAAGCAATGTCTTCTATGGACCATGTGGCATGCTGTTAGTAGGGAAACAAACAGACTAATGGAGATATTACAGGACATCACATTAGGTAACTTTCTTGTGCCTCAATTTACTCTTTTGTAACACAAGGCTAATGATACTTGCCTTCATTTATAAAACTTTTTTACTTGTATGAAGAGATAGGCATATTGTGTCACAGTACAAAGTGTTGACACTAGGAATACCCCATGTTTTATTTCTGGCCTTCTCCTGATAGGTAAAAATTCATCAAGCAGTTGATCCAGGAATAAAGAGCATTCTCAGCATTTGCAAGCCAACACAGACAAGCCCCTCATGCCTTGGAGGTATAAAGAGAAGTGGAAGGGGACGTTGCAGCCCAGCAGCATTGACAGATCATTCAGACAAGACCTGTAAAATAAAGCTGGAAGCTACCAGAGTTACCTTCTTCATCAAGATCTCTCTCAGATGCTGTGGGTTCAAATAAAACTTTCCTGAGCCTCTTGGAGTAGACTCTTGGTGGTCCTTGGACAGGACTCTTCCTCCAAGTCTCACTGGATTCCACCTTGCCAGATGATGGCTTCAGGGCATAGGGTACTACCAGGGCCCTCAGTGGCACGTGGACATCCTTCTTCCCAGGCCTGGATCCTCTAGCAGCTACCTCTGAGCTCTGGCTCTTAACCTGTGACAAGAGTCCCAGTGAAATCAGCTCTGAAGACCTGAGGTTACTGTAAATTTTCTGTTACTGGGCCGGAGATGAGTTTCACGTGGTGCTTGTTTTCAGGCTCATCTTCCTATTGAGTCCTAAGGGCCAGCACGCCAGTATTAGCTGCCAAACAGATGCTGAGCAATGCAGCTACCTGCTGTGTGCTGTGGTCCACTTTTAGGCTGCTGGGCACAGCTGAACAAGGCAACTGGAAAGGCACAAAGGTCCTCTGTGCCAGTAGTAAACAGGCTGATCAATCATCCCACCAAGCACAATTAAATTCAACCTTTCCAAAGTAATTTCAATGAAGAATACCTCTTTCTCTAGCACAAGTGAATCTTTGGCTCCAAAACTTGCTTAGCCACATCTAATCAAAAGAGTGGCAACAAATGTTTCTGCTAGACATCAAGTGAATAGCCACTGGTGAGGGGGAAGCTACTAAGGAGAAGGTGAAATAACAAGAGGAAGGTTCCAGGATACACCTACCGCAATAGGATCCTGCAGGTCCTGGCCAACAGGTCTCTCATCTGCTGGAAGCACTGGTGACTGGGTAGTCTCTGGGACAAGGAAGGGGTGAGCAGGTGTACTGCTGGAGACACCTTGGAGCAGCTGTGGCAGAAAAAGTGATACAAGGACATAGCAACTGTGCCAGCCTCCAACCACAAAGGGTGGGCAAAAAGATGTCTTGCAAGGCACTGATTCCCTGCAATGGTATAGCCCACATTTCATCTCCCACGCCAATAGAATAAACAAGGAAAAGGAAAGCCAGGGACTGCAATATGCTAAATCCAAGGGTTTCAGTACAAGGTAAACCAACTCTGTAAGTACCAAAGACTCAGGAGAGAATGGAACTGGAAGTGAACTGCTCTCTGCTGCCAGTCTCCTGCAGCATAGGTGTTCTGGAAAAGCTGTGTTTAGAGAGGGTAGGCCTGCAGCATCACAGAGGGCTTGCACTCAGATCCACATTTCTCAGCTCTAACTTGGAGTAGCAAAGAGAAGGAAAAGGAGAGCATAGGACAGGAAATTCTGTGGCTCAAAAGTGGTAACAGTTGGGATCCCAGGCAGGAGGAGAGGAAAATGTCAGTTCTTTTACCTGTCCATTGACAGTCAGGACAAGCCTCACAGGATTGCCTTTGTCCATCTCTTTCAATGAGGCCATGAAAATATCCATTCTCCAATCATCTTCCCACACCAGAGACCTGCACAAGGGACCACCACAGGTTTTCAGCCCACAACTGACACTGACCAGGGCAAAATTCCTCCTCCTACACTAGATAGTAAGAGCCCAAAGCCCAAAAAGATGCAACCCTGAAAGCATCACTAGAGAGAAACGCTATGGTGGAGGACCAGCAGGCAGTTTTGGGACTACACCAGCAGAAGCAGGCAGCACCAGAGATCAGAAACTTTTCCAGCATGCCCTTCTTGACATCCCAGCAGCTCCTGCCATAACCTGCGCGTGGGCTCCAGCATGCCAATGCGCTGTGGTGCGACCCCTGGGGACACCAGCAAGTCCACTGCAATGCTCGTGTCTGGAGAGTAACAGCTCCAGTCTCCCAGGCTGAACACCACCAGCTGCTTTGGCAATGGCAGGGGCAGCCAAGCCTGGAAACCCATCTTGCTGGACTGGCTGCGAGGGAAGAAAACCAACAGATATAATCATCATGGAGCAAAATGGAAGTTAAAAAAAAAAAAAAAAAAAACAAACAAAACCCAAGCATTAACAGGTCTAAAACCACACTTATATGCCCGGAAACGACAAAAGGAGAGGGCTTATGTCATTTGAAGATGAAACCATGACAAAAAAAACAACGAGTAGACTGGGAAGCGAGTGCCGCCACGAGCTGGGGCAGCGCAGCCATGTGGGCAGGGGCAGCTCCAGGGACCAGGGCCAAGGCCGGGTGTGCAGGTGCCCCCGGCCTCGGGGATCACACCCTGGCAGAGACCGGGTCGCGTCGGCCCCAGCGCTGCTTGCAGCCCCCGGGCCGGGCCGGGCCGCACCTGCCGAGGCGCCGCGGCGGCTCCCGCAGAGCCCACACCACGTAGAAGGCGAGGCCGCCCCGCAGGGCGAGGTCCGAGGGCCCCGGCCGGCCCCAGCGGCAGGTGGGCAGCATCGCGGCGAACAAGGCGGGGCTGCAGGGACCGCGTTAAGGCGGAGCGGGGCAGCGGGGGCGGCCCCGGCCATCCCCGCCCCAGCCCCACAGGTGCGGAGGGCTCCGGCGGGCCCGCCCTGCCCGCGCCGCCTCGGCCGGTGTTTGGGGGCGCCCGAGCCCCGGGGCGGGAGCAAGGCCGAGGCCGTCCCCGCTCACGGCGGTGCCGGTGGCAGCCTTGGCAAGCAAGGAGGCGGTCGGGGGAGCAGGACCGGCTTCTGGCGCTCTGAAGCCGGGCCCACCCCTGTCTTTGTATCAAATTATACCCATTACAGAATCAATTAGGTTGGAAAAGATCTCTCAGATTATCGAGTCCAACCTATGACCGAACACCACCCTGTCAACTACACCGCGGCACTAAGCACCAGGTCCAGTCTTTCCTTAAAACACCTCCAGGGACTCCACCCCCTCCCTGGGCAGCCCACACCAATATCTAGTCACCTTGCCTGTGAAGAAATTCCTCCTAATGTCCAATCTGAACCTCCCCTGGTGCAGTTTAACATTATGTCCTCTTCCTGTCGTTGGTTGCTTGCGAGAAGAGGCTGACCCCCACCTGGTTACAATCTATCTGCTCTCAGGTAGTTGTAGAGAGTGATAAGGTCTCCCCGAAACCTCCTCTTCTGCACGCTGAACAACCACAGCTCCCTTAGCTGTTCCTCATAGGGCTTGTGCTCCAGACATTCAACATTTCTAGAGCCCAAGCCATATGTCCATTTCCAGAGAGGGATAATTTGCTTGCTAATTCCTAAATGATGGTATCTGTACACATTTCTTGTAGCCTTCACAAAAAAGTAGCAGGTGTGAACCTTGCTTCTTTCACTTGGCAGTCAGGGTTCCTATCAACGCAAAGCAGGATGGTGGTAGATACTCCTTAAACAATAATTACATGTGTGTGTATGTATTACTACAGAGACTCCACTGTGTATCTGATACCACCTGTCTAGCAATGGGTAGCTCTGCTAAGCTGAAAACTGCTGTTGATAATCAAACACCGCTAAAGGCAATGACAAGACTTCAGCAGCAAAAGAACAATATTCTCCCTGTGCAGCTGAATCAGGGAAGAGTTGGCTCCCTGGCAAGGCCAACAAAGCCTGCTGCAAGGCCTTTGCTGAGCAGCTCATTATCAGAGCATTTCTGCTGCAGCCCAACCACAAAAATTAGAGTGTGGAGCAAAAAGAACTAATGTATCACTTCCCTGCATCCCCACTGTTTTCCTTACTTTTCCTCTTGCCCATATGCCTGAGCCAAGCACAAGGATAGGGATGCATAATAAGTGCAAGGGGATCAAGCAGCTGTAGCAGTGTTTCTCTTTGGTGATCTTAAAACACAATGAAACATCTTTAACTTCGCAGAATCATCTATCCCTTTGATCAACTCACTTTATGACTGCTCTTGCCCACCAATTATTTTATAAAAGTGCTCCACAGAAACATTGGACTAGAACTGGGACAACTGAACCCCTGCAGCACTTGTCCTGCCAAACTTCATAATGAGATAGGTGAGAAAGGATTAGTCTGGCTGCAGGCATCATTCCTCATTATGACCAGCAAGTGCTTCCTTCAGTACATGTAAATACAATCTTTGTAGTATGGTAAAGTTGATGAGCAAAGCAGCTGTGATGAGCTATGAAGGGCACTTTCGTCTAGACAACTCAATGTGTATTTGGTAACTGAAAAGATGTTTTTAGCTCTTCAGATTGAAAGCTGAAGTAACAGAAGAGCTACCTATAGGGGATCTCTGCAAATGGAGATGACAAGTACCAGTATGAAGCACTAGAGAGTAAAATATTCAAACTCTATCTGTGCCCATGAGCTTGGCTACTTGCTTTTCCTCTCCAATTCTTCAAGCGTTCAGTACAATCTCAAGCATTGCAGAGAATTTGAAGATTTACAAGAAAAATATCCCAGCAAGTCATTTTAACAGGACAAAAAATTTCTTGGCTGGAGCCATCATCACCAGCTGACAACAGAGCATTTTCCTATCCATTTGCAACCAGAATGCCCCATACACTGCAAAGTACATTTTAAGTATTTGCCTCTTCTTTGCTCATAAAACTAAGTTTAATTGTATTCTTGTTTTATTGGAAAGTCTGTAGCTCAGTTTTTCAAATCAAGATATTCAGTTGCTTTAAACAGAAGACAAAGTTCTTGGTTGCATAGTGAAAAGTTTATTTAAAGGGAATAAGTTTCAATGTATTATTACAAATCAACCACAACACATCAAATATAAACAATACAAACCAAGTGTGGAAGGAAAGCATACTATAAATATAGTCTTCATATATGCCCTTTGGCAAGAGGTCCAGTGCCACATTTTGTTAAAATATCCTCTTCTCTATTTAAAACTCACACCTTGGGAGCCCATGAAAAGCAACTGGTTAACACTCAATTTTGAAATCACAGGACATCAAAAATATTCACATCACATAGATAAGGACTGACAGACAGCCATCACAGTTCACAAGAACGCAGGTCTGAAAAAGGTATGGCCAGCTACAAGATACTCGCCATTGAAGGACTATGATAGAGGCTTGGAGCTGTGACTGGAGGGCAGCCTGCTTCCCTCTGAGGAGGGCAGTCACCAAGGCATCCTGGAGGTTGCAGGGAGACCATCTCCAGCTATTTATAATTTCCAAACGTAGCTCCTATACTTCAAGGTCAGTACTTGGCAAGGCCTCCTTAACTCTGGTCCTTTGTGGCTGGCATTCTGCTTCTTGCCCAAGGGACTTGACTCACCAGTCCAGATGGGCTTAAAACAGATATTCCTCACTGATGGATACAGAATTCTTCCTCTCTCCCTGCCCAATAAAGGGTACATTTCTTGTATTATGCTTCTCAGAAAGCAACAAGCAAAATCCAGAATGGATTGTAGAAAAGCCAAAGGGAGTCAGATCCACCATTTACCTGGACTGATGTTGTATCTTTGGCTGCAACAGCATCATTGGTTCAGAAGTAGCAGCCAGGGACTCTTTCCAGGCATATGTGGAATATCCCCATAGAAAATTCTCCTCCTTGCAATATACATTTGAATTCTGCAGTTTTATGTACCTTCTAAAACTTTATTTAGTTGCTATTTACTGCAAATCAATTTATTTAAATAAATGATGTAGCACTTTGACTCCTGCTAAACTCTTAGCTTCTTTCATAGCCTAATTAGCCAATGTATTTAACACAATCAGCTCCCAGTTTTTCATTTTGACAGTCAAGAAGTTCTCATTTGTCTACATCATTTACATTGCATTTTCACATCAAATATTTCCCCAGATATGAGAAAAGGAGAAACACAATCTTTTCTTTCAAACTTCTAGAAGGGAAAAAAACCAAACAAACCACCAAAAAAACCAACTTTGTTGCTCTGGTCTCTTATCCAGCCTCAATATGCGTAAGCACACACCACTCACAACACTGGATTCTGACATAATTTTCTTTTAGAGAAAATGATGAATGGCTACAAGGAACGTTCTTCTATGTCTATCTAGTGTTCCTCTGGTCCTTGGATTTAGCATCAAAGGAATAGTCCCCTGGTGTTCCTAGACAGCAGCATATGATTTTAAAAAGCAAAGAACATATGGTGCCAGGAAACTCAAATACCATTGTACTACTCGTCTTACAGCAACAAGGCAGTCTACAAACAGCTTAGATCTCCAGCATCAGTCCACAGGGGCTCTCCTTGCCTGACCTTAGGAAGTGCCTCCCTGCTACCCAAATGGGCAGAGAAATGAGAAGAAATCCCTTGAATTAATGACACCTATGACTCTGATTTCAGACATGCTCCTTGTTCCTAAGGCACCTTGTGATAAATCCTCTGTAGAGTGGCTTTAGTAGGGGTAGTGAGACAAGAAGGAAGGGTATAAGCAGTGGGGATAAAAGTGAACTCATTTAGGGATTAATTTTCTACCCTAATTCCCCACAAGAACAAGTCAGTCTTTCAGCAAGTAGACATGTAACAAGGTGCATCTCAAACCCTGCTCACCAGGACCAGCATGGTGGTAACTGATCCACTGCAGGCCATAGATGGAGGTTACATGCACAAAAGGTTACAAGGAGACAAGTACACGGGGTAGAGCCACATAGAAAGGCAAGTGACTGCCTTTTAGGCTCAGTCATACTAACTCTGCTTTCTGAGCATCTGAAGTCAGGCAACTAAGCTCTTTCTCTTACGCATTTTCATCTTACCTGTTCGAGTATTTCAATGGGTCCCAAGCATTAATTTGCTACAAGCCTATGTCAGGAGAACACGTATTACAGGCTTCCAAAGAGTCTGAGTAAATGTAATCAGTACTAGTGGTCCCTGATTTAAGCAATTTAAGTCTTTATCCTCAGTAAAACACATATATTTTAAACTCCTGATGCTACATTTCACCTAAAGTGAAAAAACAGAGAAAACAACAGAGAGCTTATTATCTTTTCTGACATAAAAAACCCCAAGAGATTGTTACCATTATTATAACCAAGCAATTATGCAAGCTAATTTTTATACAAGTCCTTTACTACAGGACTGTCTTATATCTCTGGCTGGACATGTAAATTTTATTTAGATCTAAATTATATTAAAAACAAAATGGAAAATATTTTTATGTTTTCACAAAAGCAAACCCAAAATGCAAAAGAAGATTCTTCCTCGATTTAGCTTTCTGAATTTCTACACACAATTACAGAGAGAAGAAACATATTTTTAAAAACCTATCTGAAATTTTCCTTCCACAAAATCAAAGAAGAAATTTTTGTTTCCTGAGGATTAATTTCCCTCTCTGAAGTGCAACTGCATCTTTAATTTATTTTTCTTTCTAGACTCAAGGTCTAGAAAGAAAATTCTCTATTTAAAATAAGAAGGGTTTCCATAACTGCCTAAGTTAGCTAGCAGGGTTGAATACAAATCTGGGAAATATACCAAACTGAAAAAATGATGCATGTGAAATAAGATTACTTTGAAACAACTAGGGGTTTAATTTTGAATAGGAATGGCTGCTGTTAATCACTATCTACACAGCCAAGCTATTGGATTTATCAAGCAATTAATAAAGACTGTGTACCTTCAAAAGAGGAGTTGTCACTTGGATAATGAATGCTACCTGAATACCTGAGAAACAACACAATTCTGTAATGTGGAGATTAAAGAAAATAAACAAAAAGAGGAATTATCCTGGACAACTGTGCAGCTTCCATTTCCTGCAGATGAAATATTCCTAAAACTATCTTGTGCTCATAACAGATATCAGGTACTTCTGGTAAACTTAAGCAGTGAAACAACACACACTGAATGCTTTCAGTTCTACTGCAGCAGGCCTGACTGTGGACACACTGCACTGCAGACCGGGGACATAGTGATTGAGACAACTTTCCAATTTAATGCTGCTTTTGAGCTTAAGTCAATGAGACCAGGTAGATGGGCTCAGTTCCAAAAAAGTGACCTGAGCCTTACTAAAGGTTGGTCCACACTTCAGAAAGCAACAATTGAGCAATAGGTTTGCCATCTACGGTGCAACTTATCTTAACAAAAACCATTAACTAATGGCTTGAAAACTGGCACATACTACTTATGTGTCAGTGAGTGAACAAAACTGGTTGTAAGAAGGCCTTATTAATTTTTTACAACACGATAAAATATATTTCAAACCTTAATATGAGCAACAGACAGACAGGAGGGGGAAGTAGCTGTGAATTGGCAACAGGGAGGCCACAACATAAAAAGTTTTTAGTGGAGATAACCCAATAGCCTGCAACGAGCTGTGCAGCTGAGGATCAATAACTGTGGAATATCTAATGTACATACAGGTCAGAGTTCCCCTCATCATAAATAAATTCTAATTAGAAAGTGGAGTAGCTGCCAGATAGTGCATCGTACACTAACCAGCAAGTGCACACAGGGTTCTGCAGATCTCACAGCAAAGGACCAAAGGCAATCACTGAATAGGGCAGTGCTGACATTGTGGTCAGACTGAAGGGTCTTTTTCATCTTCTTCTGTTTATTGCCTGGTGTGACAGTGTGCTCTCCCCTCACACTTTGTCTGCTTGACCAATAGCCACCAGCGGTGGTTGTGATGGCTGTATCTGGCTTAAGTTGGACTCTGAGAAGACAGGTATGAACAACAGTTCAGGGCCATGAGTCTTGCTCAACAGCTAAGGGCTAGTTGAGCACAAGCCAACCCAAAACATAGCTTGTATTCAAATATGACTGTAAGTCAATCATCTTACTCTATAAATAGTGAACAGCCCAGAGCCTGTTACACTCTCCTACATGGCAGTAGGCTGTACACCAGGATTTCCACTTGAGTAGGGATGCCTCTTAGGGTTAACTACTTGATGATGAGATATTCCTTGCTGTAATAGATTCTCACTAAGTGCTTAATAGCATGCTAAACTTTGAAACCTTAGCTGAGATACAGAATTGACTCTGCAAATAAAATCCTTTAGATACCCACTGGCCAAGTCAGGGATGAACTCTGGATCCAGCCACACCTAAACTGTCCTCAAGAAAGGAGTTTAAAAAGCAAGGGGGTCCTTTCTGAACCTCATGACTCAGCAGAGGGTCTCTTGACAGTTTTGTCTGACCCTGTCCTCTATGCAGTATACAATTAAGTATACCTTGCCATCAAATCTTGTTAAAGTATTGTCACATTTACTCATAGAATTATATAATGGTTTGGGTTGGGAGGGAACCTTGAAGATCATCTAGTTCCAACCGCCCTGCTGTGGGCAAAGACACTTTCAACTAGACCAGATTGCTCAGAGCCCTATCCAATCTGGTCCTGAACACCTCTAGGGCTGGGGCATCCACAGCTTCCCTGGGCAACCTGCTCACAGTAAAAAACTTTTTCCCAATATTTAATCTAAACCTACTCTCTTTCATTTTGAACCCGTTCCCCCTTGTCCTGTCACTACATGCTCTTGTAAATAGTCTTGCCCCATCTTTCCGTGTGGATGGATCCCAGTGCAGGTGGATCCCATGTGGATGGACCCCATGTCCGCATCACTTGGCTGACACCTCTGCATTTCTTAGCTAACTGTGCCAGTGCTGTACATAAACTACAGCACCTCATTCCCAGTATAAATGTTGTTCCTGAAGCAAAGCAGAAAGGGCCCATACCAGCAGTGTCCGTCCCTGCTGTGCTATCCCTGTGGGGCTGTGTGTGCAGGAGATGGTTACACCTGGTTCACAGCACTGACCTGAGTACAGTGAGGAGGGAGAGGGGGTGGGTTTGGTAAGCCATGAGAACATCATCAACTGATGCTTTAGAACAACTGGGCAGAACCTGGCATACTCCAGTTACTGCTGCATGTAGTGCTCGGTGTGGCAGTGATGTACTGTACTCAGGAAGTAACCAAGGAGTTGCACACTGCAGTCATGTTCCGGTCAATTCTGATGTTCCTGTCAGAGTCCTGCCTTTGTCTGTCGAAGTATTTTGGACCCTACCTATGTGAGCCGTGTGACGTGACTGACATGACAGATGTCTTGCTGTCTGAATGATGCTTCATGAATCTTTTGGTCACATTTTTAATCAGTAACTTTCATTATTCACAAATATATACTTTAAAAAGCGGGAGGAGAGGGGGAGGAAGTAAAATCCCCAAACATTTTTGCTTGTGATGTGCTTTTTTAACTAAAGTCTCCCTTAAACCAGAAGCTGCTGTGCAAAGATACTGTTGACTGCAGAATGTGAGGGGTAACTCAGGTGCCTGAGCAGCAGAAGTGTCTTCTAAATACTTAAGTGCTACTGCTGGAGTCAGATTGGTTATCAGCTTTTCAAGGAATTATTTTACTACAATGGTAGGAATAGTTGTGCAAAATACAATGAAAGTGCTCCTATATTTATAGTGCTTCTAGAGGTTTTGGTAATTCAGATTTTATTAGCAATTACCATTTCAATAAACTTTTAATAAAGTTTTTATTCCTTTTATAAAACAGCCCATGAAAAAAAATCTCACTTCTTAAAACAAGTTATTTAAATTTAGGCCATCTAAAGGCCTAAAGAATCTGGGGTTTTTGAGAATTTTTGTAATTTCTGTCTGAATGTGAATTATGGTACTTCCTCAGCTTTTTCTGCTTCATCAGCTAATGTTACAGCATGTATCTGATGCAGAGAGACCATAATTTGTAAGCTTTGAGGGTCCAAGCCCTTTTCCCTCTTTCTCCTAAGACTCACTGAAGCTGGAAAAGAAGTATAGTCCCATCTCCTGATAACTTGGCACAGTTAATTTCAGCACTGTGACCTTATTTTCAGAGACTGGCTTCTGTTTTTAAAGGCCTTACTAAATAAACTTGCTATTCTCATGTTGTTGACATCTTTTACTTCCTACATCATCTATTTGAAGAAAATTAATCTGCTGCTCTACTGCAAGATTCCTGTCACTGCTCATGAGAGTGAAGAGATTGGTACCTGCCCCCCTGCTTCCCCTCATGAGGATACTGAAGACCACAATGAGGTCTCCTCCAGGCTGAACAGCTGCTCCTCATATGGCTTCCCCTCAAGGCCCTTCACCATCTCCATTGCCCTCCTTTGGACGCTCTCTAAGAGCTTAGTGTCTTTCCATATTGCGGCACCCAAAACTGCCACAATACTCAAGGTGAGGCCACCCCAGTGCAGAGCAGAGCAGGACAATCCTCTCCCTCGACTGGCTGGTGATACTTTGCCTGATGTCCCCCAGGACACACCTGGCCCTCCTGGCTGCCAGGGCACTGCTGACTCATATTCGACTTGCCATCGACCAGGACCCCCAGGTCCCTTTCTGCAGTGCTGCTCTCCAGCCTCTCATTCCCCAGTCTATACACACAAAACACAAACGATCAAATGGTGTTAAATCACTGGTTTATATCAACAAACATACTGTTACTTCTCTGTTACAAGTGAAGAGCATCACTCCATCTGTAACATCTTGATAGGAACTTGATAGACAAAAGATGGGAAAAAAAAAAGAACACCTTACCTAAGTTGCTCAGGCATGATTCAAGTGCTGTACAAAGGCCACAGGATGGTCCTTCATTTCATCCAAGAGAGGCTAAAGGAAGGAAGAGCCCTCTCCAAGCTGCTGAAAGAAAGAGCATCTTGCTCTGACAGATACCAAGCCCTACTGTTCTGTCTCCCTACAAGATTGTCCTGTGCTTGCCATGCTTAAGTAAGGCAGCTTTGCAGTTCCCCCCAACCCAGGAGCACACGCTCTCTCTCCTGAAAGAGGGGGCTGTTTTCTGATCATCTCAGGGCCCAAAGCAGCAACAACTCTTCTCCTTACCCTGACCAACTCTGCTCCTTGCCTGGTCACTGAGAAAGCACTGCTTGGAGCACAGTGGCTCTTTGCGTTACTACTCCTTCTCCTTCCAGTTTGGGCTACTCTACTATAGTCTGACTGTTTCTCTTACCATTTTGACCTAATAAGTGCTCTGGGGCAGTGAATAAGTCAGCAGAGATAGTTAAAAAAGCGAGCTTGAATATGGAGCAAATTGCACAGCATTACAATATACCCTTCATAGGAAATATGCAGGTCTTCCTATGAGAGCAAAATCTTTGGCTTTAATTATCCCAAAATAATTTTGTCCATCGTTCCCTCTCAATAGAAGGAATGGACCAAGTACAGGTGCTTTACCTGGACAATTTAAAAATAAAACTCAGAACTCTACTAGTATCACCACACGAACAGCCATTTTGTGTCTCTTCAAAGAGGTATTAAAATGTAAATACAGCAGTATTCTTAGAAAAGAGAATGATTTCATGTTAAAAGTATTAAAATAAACAACAGTTGCTGATAAACATATTTTAAAATTCATCACTGATGGATTTAACTTCTTCCTTGTTCAACTCTGCCAGTACTTGAGCAGAAAGTGATCACTAGTACCATCATGAGTCACCAAAACATGCCAAGGAACTTCCTAACAATACCTTTGCAATTGCAATAGCAGCTGACAAGCTACATTTCTCTGGGGAACCTTGCTACATATGGTTATAATACCAGTGAACCAGTATGCTGCTACTAAGAAACATTTCCTGTATATTTATAGGTTGTATTCCAACCATTTTGTATTTATTCTGCTTCACATGTGGATTAGAGAAAAAACTTTTGGTAGTCACCAAAGTTTTAATCACCTACATATCCCTACACAATTAACAAATATAACATCCAATTCTTAATCTGTAGGAAAACCCTCCTAGGAACTACTAGGTGTGCACCCTGTTCAAACATCACTTGAACACCATTTGCCATGTGAGGCTCACCTTTTATAGCACTGCCAAGCCACTGGAGCTGCTGGCCAGCTGCACCCCCACTTGTGTGAGTGAAGGAAGCTCTGACTGCTGGTGACTGTAGTAGTGGTGGGTTACCCTGGCTAGGTGACCAGCCAGCTGTGCTTTTGGCTCATTGCAGCTGACAGCTGCCCTCTAGTGATGCAGATGCAGCAGGAGAGTTGGAAAAGTTATTCACAAAACAGTAACAGGTTAGTTTCACTTCATTTTGTACCAGCACAAAAGATCAGAACCATGGCCACCTGAACCTGGCTCCTGGACAATTACCAGCTGTGATGTGAAGGCCAAGCCCAATGCCTGCACAGAGCAGACCTCCCAAAGACTTAGAGAAAGAGCAGCTGCCTGGGAACAACCAGGCAGTCACAACTACCTTTCTCCCCTGGGATAGTGGGGAAGAAGGGTGTGGGAAGAAATCAGTTCATGTCTGAAGAAGAGCCATAAGAATTGTGCCTTGGTTCTGTCACACAGCAGTGCCCACCAGGCAGTACCAGGGCTGGGTGGCAGCCTGCTACACTCACCATTACCTGCCTGCCATCCCTGCCCCTTCCCTTTTCTTCAGCTCGTGTAATAGACGTGAAAGAACAGAGTCTTATTGCGGAGGAGAGAGTACGAGTTATCAAATTTCAGCAGGTAGATGCCCTCGCCTGGGTACTCATGGCTGCCTGCCTGCACCTCCCGATGGCTGTTCCTCCGATACACAGGCATGATCTCTCCGTAGCGGTTCCGCAGATAGCTTTTGGAGCCCCTTTCCACATCACCAGCAGGGGAGAGTCCTGAGTGGAGAGAGGAGACAAGTAAGTAGGCCAGAACCTGTTAAGCCACTAGGTTGTCCAGAAAAAGACCAACAAGGCTGGAATGCAGCACAGATATGCAGCCATATGGAAGGCTAACTATGACAGCATTACCTACAGTGTCTCCTCTGACCTTCCTGCAAATAATTCCCACAAAGTCCAGTCTTCCTTATCATAACAAAGGACATACCAAGAAGCAGTTCTTTTGGGAATAGTGATGGGAGAGTATTCACTTGCCTGCCAGCCTGGTCTCCTCTCCCTGAACTTACATTTTAGACACCTCACTGCTTTTATACACATAACAGCAATCCAGTGATACAGCCCTGAAGCAGAAGAAAGGCAGGGTAAGCTCTTATCTATAACCTCATTGGGTCTATATCCTCAATTCACTTCTCCAAGAGGATTCCTCATACAGGAACCTACCTCTCTTTGGATAGCCTGCAAAATTCAGACACCAACCCCACAGCTACAGTGGTCAAATATATACTAAAGCCACAAAAGAGGCAACATTGCTGGGTGTTTCACAAGTACAAAGACATGGGCAGCAACGCTTTCAAATGCAGTCAGAAGGAGCTACTGATGTACCAAGGGAAAAAAAAGAACAAAAAAACAACAACCAACCAACCAAAGAAAAAAACCAACCCAGAAACAAAATCTTTTTGCCTCCACTTTACCAAAAATTTCTCAGTCTGAGAGTCTAAGAAAAACAGGTTAAAATTTGAGACTTTAATCTTTTTATCAGTAAAACACTGACTGAATGAATTCTGATTTTATTTTTCAATGTGCTAAATTTTAAGAATGCTTTTAGAGAAAAGAGCCGTTGATATATGCTGAAGCAGGAAGGGCTAAATGCTCTCTTATCACAGTCTAACCAATAACCCAAAAGGCTGCAGTGATAGCAAATGGGTAGAGTAAACAAAGTAGATGGAAATTATAGCAACTGACAGACACTCTCAGCAGCACAGCAATAAGCATCACAAATTAACCTTTATTAGATCTGAACTAACCTTCAATTTCCTCGTCTTCCTCTTCATCCTCCTCATCGCTGGATTCACTGACCTGAACAGTAATGGCTGTGTTAGTAACCGTGGTCCAGTCAAAATAGACTCCAAACCCAATGTCATAGTCATCAGTAGCAAACTCCCAGCAAATGCATTTCCCATCAGGGTGGGTTGGCACACGGACTGTCACCACTTCGCCTCGCTTCACCACCATTCGGCCATTCTTCTCCTTTCCCATCTTGGCTTTGAATTCCTTCATCTTCTCAGTGGTCCACGTGGTGGGTGCAGCAAGAGGGGGAGGCTGAGCTGAAACAAGAGAAAAGATCATAGGCTCACCTGTCTTTTCACTACTGACAAACCATTATCTGAAAACAGTGAAGCTATTTCTGATAAGGCCTCCACTCCCAGAAGCCCTGGATGTGAAGTTTTTCCACTTGCTAGCCAGGAGCCCAAATTTCCAGCAGGAATTAGAAGTGTTTCCAAGACAGTCTCTGCTCTTCTCTAGCCAGGACAGGCACTTAAAAAATTACCCAAACAAATGTTTTGCTTTTAGGACTCACCTTTCCTCTGCTCCCCAAGGAGGTCTGCAGTCTCCAGCTCAGCCGAAAGAATATCCACAGCACCAGTATGATCTGACTGAATCATGACTATATCCCCTACTCCCTGAGGTACATGGTAGTTGGTTTTCCGAACAATAGCTTCCTGCGCAAAGCACGTAAGAAACACTGTCACAAAGACCATCCTAGCTAAAAAGTCTCTGGCTGGATTTTAAACAACTCATTAGTAATTCAGGCATCTTTATGAAACCAAGTGAGACATCACAGAAGCTGCTGTTAGTGTAAAAGAACAGGTTGGCTCCAAGACATCTCCTGGCATTGTTTCCCCCACAGCACTGAAATCATGAACTTTGAAGTCAAATACTGCATTAGTCTCACAAATTATACACCCCTTGGCCTCCCTTGGAGTCCTTGGGCAGGCACATCTTTGCATCTGCTTCAGAGTTAATTGTCACCCCTCAACAAAGCAACAGCCTTATAGATTTTGCTGATTACTCTTGGAAAGAATTCTTAAGACACAATCTCTCTAGGGAGAGCCTTTCAGATCTATGTGCTCTAGACTACAGCCACAATCAAACTGTCATTGCTGCATCCTAGTTAAAAGTCCATCTGGTTTACTAGGCCTCTCTCCTCATATAACAGCAAACTCACAGGTCCTGAGCTGGGTATCATTTGCACAAGTTTTCCTGACTCTATTTGTAATGTAAACAAACTGGCTGCTTGCAAGAAAAAAACAGAAGACTTTCAGTTTCCTCTTCCATAAACCTGCAAGAAGGGAATTCCCAGAAGCACCAGAAAAGAGGCAGAAGGTGAGAACTACCTAGAAGCCTTAGAGAGGCTATAAGGCTGTAAGGGAGCCAAACACACGAGATGGATTTTGCAAATCAGACTAATAACATTTACCTCCCACTAATGTATAGAAAAAAAATTAATCTATGTCAATACTACTTTTATCTTAACATAATCCTTAAAGCCTCAGTCCCATAGCCTTAAGTACCAAAGTAAGGTGGGAGAACTGTCACTGCACCTCTGTCCTTGCTTTCAGACATAAGAAACATCCACCTACCTTTTTGAGGGAATGGATTTTGTCAGACAGCTTCTCTTCTAGTTCAGCCACTTCCTGGGCCTCCGAAGTGTCAATTTCTTCCTTTGAATTCTCTGTCGTGCAGGCACTCAGGTGTGATTTAATCTGTGACCTTTTGGAGGAAGAGAGCACTACAATTCACCACTTGCTCCCAGGGCACTGTCAGCAGAGGAAACACTCCGCTCTGGAACTCCAGTTCAGATGAACTGAAGGGAACAAGCCTCTGTGGTCAGCACCTGCCAACTGCACAAAGAACCCTTAACACACCAATCCTGCCATCTCTGCGTGACTATCTTCCATGTGAGCTAGAGAGAGCAACTTCAGTGGAGTACTCCTTATTTACTGTCCTTTAAACGGCAGAAATTCACTGCACTCATCCCAAAGCATGCTAGCTCACCAACACTGTACTAAGGGCAGACATCAGTGGCAACTTTTCTGCCCAAAAAAGGACAACTGCTTTGATGCCAGCTACTGCGTGACACCTGCATACTCCATCAGAGGTCAACTGATCAATGAAAGAACTCAAAACAGTTTTGACAGCCATCCTGAGAATGCCACCTATTTAAGCAGCCCATTATGCCTTTCCAATAGCAAGTCCAACAGATACAGGGAGCACCCAGGTGTCTCTGCCATATTCAAATACAGTCCCCACAGATAAGCAAGCTGTAAGACATACAATGGTAGCACAGTCATAGCAAAGAGGTCCAAGTACTGCATGTTAACAATAGGACATGTTAAAACAAAAAGAAAGGTACGCAGCAGGAAAAGAATGGGCAAGAACAGAAACATCTTTTGCATTTATTCTTGGCTGAGGATTTTGTTCTAAATTATATTGAAAAAATGCTGCACGTTTTCAATAGGAAAGATTTATCATCCCAAATGAACTCGGATGCCAGTAGAGTGTCCTCTGTAATGCTCTCATTACATATGTGAAACTTATATGAGAAGCAACCTAGTATTAAATAAGAATAGAAACAGTTGCCCGTTTGAAAAGCAAAACCTTCTCACAGTACTATAAAACCAACGTCAACTGCTTTAGTCTAAAGGATCAGAAACTTGTGAACACAGCAGTAATGGAAAATATATGCTTTTCCTCAAATGTCTCCTTTCAGAAATGAGAAATATTCTCATTAGCAAGAAAGCAAACTATCAGTATAGTTTGGAAGAGTTAAAAAAACAAAACAAAACAAAACCACAAGCTCAATTCAGACATATTCCTTCCTGAATCCACAGAGAAGACATGAACAGGGCAAATGTGGCTTTTGTTTCCAAATTATTCCCATGGCAGTACAGAAACATAGCCATTTTTAATTTAAATTCTCTCAACAGTGTGATTTCCTTTCCTAGAACTGGCATGACAGATCAGAAGGTCTGTAAGTACAACTAAAACGAGCTGAATTTCAGGATCAGAAAACGGCAGCAGATGAACAAGATAAGAAAAAAAGGGACACTTGGAGGGAATAATTTTTTAAAAGAAGAATTCTCAGACTTCTATGCCATCATTTTCCAGCCTATTTGCTCCTTAGTTTAGCAGTTGCATGGACTCACCTAAAAGGGTTATTTGGTCACTTGCTACCATAGATGATGCACACATCTCCCTCAATGTAGGAGCTAACAGCTTCGGAATTTTTTCCTCCAGACAACACTGATACCTAAGAGTCTCACTGAAAGATTAGGAAGAGCCACACAAGCTTTACAGGCAGACCTACAAAGATAGAGTTCAGGTGATTCCTCCTCACACAACCCTTCTGGACCATTTCGACCCCTTTCAAAGGAGATCTAACTTAAGATAAATTTATTAGGTAACTTCCACAAGTATCCATCTTCTACTATGACCACTTTGCTCATGGTGTGTATTGATCTCTTCAAAGAAAAACAGAGGATATTATAGCGAGATGGAAGAACTCATTTAGAGTCAAGAAGGCTGATACACAGGTCATCAGCACCAAGCCAAGATGACATCAAACTGCTCCCTTAGTAAGTAGGGTAGTTTGTTGTAGTTTGTCTTTCCTGGATTTTTTTCCATCTTTCTCAGTGAAGCTGTGGTTTACCTACTGTAATTAATTCGCACATTTCTGAAACTGAATCCTGTGCAACAAATGTATAATGGTAAATGAAACTCCACTGCATAGTATAAGTGCTTGTAACCAATGAAATTACTTGGCCACAAACACCACATGCCCAACAGATACCAACAAGCCAAACATCTGACAGCAGGGTTGATAGGCAGCATTAATGGCATGACACAGAAAACAAAGGATGAAGAAAACAGTAAAAGGTGTTTTCTTGCACAGCCTCCATCAGAATTATAGACAGTGGGAATGCTCAGTTATTAACATATCCTTTAGATGGAATACAGAAAACTGAAAGTTTACCAGCTCTTACAATGGACTACAAAACTTTGCAGGGTTCCTTTCAAGCTGAATGACTCTGTGATTTGAATAGCTGAGCCATGAACTATACCTCATAAGCTTTAAAACAACCTTAAAGCCTGTAAGAACAGGCCCTCTGATACTCATTCCAATATTTACTGTCCCAAAGCAGATAATTCAATCTCCAGTCCCTTCCCTTTACCTGCACAGAACAAACTACCATACAGAAGAGGTCACAGGGGTGAAACAGATTGTCATGCATGTGGGCCACAACACACAATAATTTTCCTACCCGCTCTGCGAAGTACTGGACTCCAAAGAATCAACTAGCTGATCTGCAGGCTCTGTCTTTTGAGCTGAGTCTTCATTTTCTACCAACAAAGAGAATATAAGAAGAGAAGGTGAAATAAATGTTTCATGTTTATAATACACTGACAGGAGGAAAAACTGCAGCCAGCACTCAAATGTTGACAAGGTCATGGCTGTGGAACGAAGAGCTGTGCCAACCAGTTTTTCATGTTATGAGCTGTATCTAGCACCTTGCAGAACAAAGATTTTTAATTGCCTCAACCCTGGGAAAGGGAGAACAAAAACCTATGCGTGTTTTTGGTGCAGACCCATTCTCAGAAGCAGGATTCACTCGGGAACCAACAATCCCCCACTTCAGAAGGACTCAACAAGGCCAGATTTCATCACGTAAAACTGAACTGGCAAAGCCCTCGAAAAAGCAATCATGCAGTGGTTCCCACAGGGCACAGACGAGATGGAAATTCCCAGGCCCCTGCTAAAATGACTGTCTATAAAGATGGCTCCTCATTTCCCCCGAGTCTCCTGAACTCGGGGAAAGCTCTGTCCCCACACGACTGCGGTACCCGCTCCACAGCCCTGCTGCCCGACTGCATTAAGGTAGCGAAGCGGGCACGGACAAGTTCCAGCTGTCGCAGGTAGCCGAGGATGCCCCTTGGAGCCGCTGGCCGCTCCCGAGAGCCGGCTGGAGCAGGGAGGCACCTCTCGCCCGGGGCCCCCCGCCCGCAGCACAGACGGCACGGCGGAGGCAGCCCGGCTCAGGCGGGACGGGGTCTGTTCCGCCGGGGAAAGCAAAAACCTCCATCAATCCTCGCTCTTCCCGCCGCGGGGGAGAAACGCCGGGCACTCCTGCTGTAGTCCCAGGCGCCCGAGCGCAGCTGTGCCGGCACCGGGGCGCAGGTGAGCTCGGCACTACGGGTACGACCGGGTGAGATCACAGAGCCACCCCAGAGATCTGCCAGCACGGAAATTCGGCTTCTCCGCGAGAAAAGAGGGAACCCACCACCAAAGCAAACTCACGGCACCCTCCCCGTAAGGTCAAGGCTAAAACACGAGCCCGCGGGCCGCCCCTTCCCCCGCCCAGCCCGTACCTGCGGGGCCCCGGGGCGCGGTGCGGCCGCCCGGGGGCTCGGAGCGGGAGCCGGCGGCGGGGAGCGCGGCCGACATGGGCACGGCTCGGCGGGGCGGCGGAAACACCCGAGCGGCGCCGAACCGCGGCGGCCGGCCCGGCGGAAACACCCGAGCGGGGAGGCGGAAACACCCGAGCGGGGGAGCGTGAACCCGGCAGCAGGGAGATGGTGGCGCCTTGGTGCTCGTCCCTCAGCCTCCCCCCTCGGCAACGCAGCCAATCAGCCCGTAGTTCTGCAGAGCCGCGGGGCGGGCGGCATTGCGGGCTGACAGCGCGGGGGGGGCGGAAGGGAGAACGGGGCGCGCCTCCGGGAAGTGGCGGTTACCATGGTAACGGGTCCCGAAAGGACGCCTGGCGGCCTGGGGAAGAAGCTGATGGAGCCGCGCCCGGGGCCCGGGGGGCTGGAGCCTGAGCCCGAGCTCCAGGGCGCGGGGGGGCCGCGGTCCACCTGCCCCTTTCTGACCTGGAGTGCCGAGGAGGTGGCGGAGTGGGTGGCGCACCTCGGCTTCCCCGAGTACGAGGTGCGGGGTTGCCCCCGCCCCGAGCGCCGCCTGCACGGGTGGCACTGAGGTGTGGGTGTGGGTGTGTATGGGGTTGGGGGGGGGGTGTGTGTGAGTGTGAGCGGCAGAAGGGGCGGCAGTGGCAGAGGGCGACCCGCCTCTCCCTCTGCTCCTGTGCCCAGGAATGCTTCAGGGCCAACGGCATCACCGGCCGCCGCCTCGTCCTCGCCAACTGCTCCAACCTGCCCGCCATGGGCGTCACGGACTTCGGCCACATGCAGGTGCGCCCGGCGGGTCCCGGGGCTCCCTCAGCCCCCCGGGCCCCCTCGCTGACCCTTACTGCTGGGAAGCAGGCTGGGCCATGGCTTGCCTGCCCAGGCAGATCACTGACTCGAAGAGTGAGCCTGGAACCGGACAACCAAACTTGTTCAGCCAAACAGCCACATTTTTAGAGTCTTTTCAAGTACAGATCTTTAGCTGGCCACACCTGGGGCACCAGAAGTGCATCAGGAGTGCCTGGCCTTTCTTTAAGCGTGTGTTGCTTCCCTGGCCTCATAAAATTGCTTAGCGAGATGCACACACCTTTATTAAGATACCACTCAGAATTTCTGTTTAGTAATTTTCCACTTACTCATTTGTAGAACTTCTGAAAATCTAGTCAGATTTAACCTGCAGCAGTTGAGTCACTGATCTCAAGCAGCAGAAGGGCCACTCATTTTGTTTTGGCCTTATTTTGGCCATTTTCCTTTCAAACCTGCATATTTTGTTTAACAAACACTGATGGTTAAGAACTGACTTTGGGGATTGTGATATAGCCATCCAGAGCTTCCTTAAAGTTTAGAAAATCAACAAGTTGACTTAAATTTTGTAACCCTTCTTCCCTTCCCTAATAGAAGCCTCAGAGGGACTCGGGGCTGCATTTACAGAGCCAAATTGTCTGGGTTTTTGTCATCATTTGATGTTACTTTCCCCAGAAGACACAGGTAGAAGTTTAAATAACCTGGAAGAGAGAAAAATCTTTATGCTCCAATGACTAGAGTATTAGCACAGTTTGCTTTGTTCTTGAGCACCACAATGCCATTTCACCACCATTCTGCATGGCTGCACAATCTTAACTGTTTGAAACAATATATGCCACCAAAAACACTGATTAGTGCCATGCGTGTGCCTGCTGCTTTAAGAGGAAGGCATCAATTTACAACACTTAGTTTTTCAGACAGCAGCCCTTCAAGAATATTTCAGGTACAAGCAGATAGAGCCTTTATAGTCATTTGTGCTTACCAAAGGTGGCAAGAACTTTATAGCCTTTGTAAGCCTCACCCTCGTACTGGGATATAGGGATTGTGTATGGTGGTAATGCAACTGTTGAGAAATACTTAGCCGTGGGTTAAAGATACCAGCTGTAACCTTCCTCCTATAGGAACTGAAATTCCTCAGAATAAGTGATAGCCATCATAGCGCAGCAAACTTGGAAATGAGACTGTCTCTGTAACGTTTTCCAAACCTTGCAAGTAAACCAGGAACATCTCAGAGACTTCAGTGGAATCAAGGTCGTGCCTTATCCTGCTAGTTGTTTGTGTTTTAAAGAACTTTTCTGTGATGGAATCCAAGCATGCAGAGCTCTGCAGGACATGGCCCCGAGTCTTTCAGGAAGTGTGCATTTGAGCAGGGAAAATGTTAAGGCCACCACTTCCCAATAAGAAATATAAACTAAAGGGTGTGAGCAGAAACTGATACAGTTACTATAGAAATAAAAGTGATAGCATCAGCTCAGTGAGACAGAAACTGTCCGCAGTTTAGGGGAAATGCAATTTGGTAGAGAACTACATAGCTAATTAGGTGTAAGCTATGCAGCATGAACAAGTGACTTTACTGCTGGTTTTAATCCCACTGTATTGGTATTTTATATATCAAAACCACTAAAGATACCGGTCTGATATTCTTTTGTTATCACAGAAACTAGGGTACTACTCCTCAGAGTCAGGCCCAAGTTGGGAGAATATTTTGAGCAAATACTGTGAAAAATCAGTAAAACCTTGAGAATTGTATTTTGAAGCTTCAGCCAAATCAGATAGTTACATTCTCAGAAGCGACTTCAAAAATAATGGCAAGGCTCTGTTCACTGACTGTTCCAGGTCTAGCTGGCTCAGACAGCCAGTCACTCATCCTTTTCTTAATGAGCAATATGAGTTACTGCTAATTAGTTTTTACTCTTGTGTTTAGACTCTGTTGTTGACATTATAACTTAACAAACAGTAATGATTTTGAAATAAACAGGAGAGATTGCAGCTCTTTCACCTGTAACTTTTTTGTTCTTCAAATGCAAAGAGGAAAGTGGATCTACTTATGCCACTAAGAGACCAGATGTGATGCCATCCCCCACAGTAAATCTGGAGAGTAAGGGATCTGCTCCGCTTTTACAATGTCATTTGGGGCTTATGGGTTCAGATCCCTCTTCTGTTGAAAATTCGTGTAAAACTGTTCCAAAATTAAGAAATGCAGTTCTTTTTCCTGCTGCTCTGACACAGAACGAATAGTTTTAGCTGTTGCCCTGTGAAATGAGAATTTGTGGTATTTTATCTTGTATTTCAGGAAATTTCACGACATGTGCGGGAGCTGCTGGGGATTGAGGAGCCTCTCTTCAGCAGATCCATTGCCCTCCCATACAGAGACAACATGGGTCTCTTCCTAGAGAGGAAGTCCCGAACAGGAAAGAAAGCAGATGCCCTCACTTTCACAGAGTTCATTGAAAAAGCAGGACTGGAGCCCTATACTACAGTTCCTCCTTTGCCACAATCCCAGACCACAGTGGAAGTGGATACAGTTCCTTCCTTGGAAGGATCCCGGACCAGGGTGGAAGTGGATGCTCTCCATGTCTCACAGGACACCCGGAGGCAGAATTAGAGACTCAGGCTGCACTTCTGCCTTGTAAGAAGCCCAGCAGCAACACCCAACTAGACCCTTATTACCTTGCAGATTGTCCAAGGAAGTGCAGTTCCACCTTTTCCCAATTATAGAAAAGGCCACTGCAGCTCTTAGACATTGGATTAGATCAAACATATCCCCACATTGTCTCTTTCCTGCAGTCCTTCGTTTGCTTACAGGAACCAAGCGAAGCAGAAGCTGGAGGTCAGACCATACTACTGTCTGTCTTTCACTTCTGCTTCACGGTTGATTAAAAAGACCAAAAAACAATCATCTGCATATTTTAACCACAGGTGATTGATGACAACTTGCCAGATGCTCAAGTGAATAGATTTCTCCCAGTCTTTAGAGCCTGCAGACTTTGAAGGCCAGGTGTAAGATAAATGGCACATACAATAACAGGTGTAACAGGTGTGGCTACAGCTGCTGTCAGCCATCATAATTAAGTGAGTTGTTGCAATGTGCACAACTAATCCCTGGCCTCACCACAGAAGTTATTTCCTGTGAGGCAAAACTGGGCAGGCAGTGTCTTATCATGGTAAATGGTACTGAAGCACGATAGATGGTGGCACGAAGTGTGAGAGAATACTGTAACCTCAACCAGAGAATTTAGGGAATCAGGCTTGCTTTTTCCTGGGTGGATTTGGATAGAATAACCAGCTACCTCCTTTTTCCTTGAAGGATATATCACATAGTCTGTGGTGGTGAGGGTAGAGTGCATTATTACCAGCAAGGAAGTAGAAGTAAGTGCTGATTAAAGCCTGGCTCAACAGAAAGAGTGCTCCTGACTAAATTATTATGTTACCAGGATTCAGTGGCTTTATTGAGATTCCCCATGGGGATTAAAAAACTAAAAGGACAAAAAAAGACTGGGCCTGATCCTGTTTAGTTTGTTACATCAAAGCAGTAGTCAATACAAAATATATGTAATTTTTTCTGTAATTCAGTTTTCTATTGAAGCTGCAACAGAAACACAGTGAAACCAAAGCAGTTCATAGGCCAAGAAGACTACGTAATACACAAATGGAGAGAAAAGAAAAGAAAAGCTCAGGCAGCCAGGGGTAGGTGGGTTTGTTGAAGAGCCTACAGAGTGAAACGTAGAAGAAAATGTGTACATAGGGTTGTTAGCTGGAATAGTTTAAAAAGTCTGAGAATGAACAGTGCTGGTTCTCGTACCCCTTAGTCCCATGAGATGAGATATCCCTGTGATGAGATCTCAGCAAAGCATTCTGCATGGGCTTCATTATGGTTTATTAGAATTTAGAATCATACTCAGCAGTTTCCTCTGGAATTTCTGAGAAAATGTTGGAAGCAGCTGTGGAGCATGAAGACTTATCATCCAGTATCACACCAGGCTCCACTACAGCTGATTAGTGCTGATTACCCACACTGCTTTGTAGACCAGTCTCCAGAGGATGCTTGGTATAGTAAAGCACCAGGCATGGCATAGCACTGGACAAGCTCTATTTTAGCAGCTGGCTAAAGAGAGACTTACTCATTGGTACAGCTGTCAAGTCAAACCAGGGGAAGGTTCTGGGAAGAGAAAACAAATAAAAACATTTGCGGGCAACCACAGTCCAAAGCACCTTGCTAATAAGGTGACAAATAATGGTTTTCTTCAATGTCTGACTACTAGACTCTTCCTTGGGCCTTTGAGAAACAGTCAGACTCAAAGACTTGAATATAAAATGTTCCAGGCATTACTCTGCCAAGTGGAGCAAAACTCAGCCTAATGGCTCTAGAGCAATCCTGCAGAAGCAGGAGTCCATTCCCGCAAGCAGTGTTCCCCTATCTAAACATCCTAGTTCATGAACTGCCATAAGTTCATTACCTTTAAGAACTGTCCTCTCTAGATATTCCCATAGGAATTTTTTTTTCTTCATCCAGTGCCCCAGTCCTGCTCATTGGCTTCAGACAACCCTGATAAGTAACCAAACAGGAACCAGGGACAAAATAACTCAGTCCAGGTCTTTTATCACTAATACATCATCTAGGGCAATCTTCCCTGGCAGGTATGTGGTCCTAAGGGCAACACAGAGCTCAGCACCTTCCAACCCAACAAGACAGCCCATGTTTTAGCTGTGGGATGAGGCGAGTTTCAGAGCTAAGAGGAAGCCTGGACAAGCAGTACCTCAGCATTCAACCGTTTGCTTTTTCCTCTCGAGTCATCGAAGAAGCAAAACCTTTGCTGACAAAACTCTTGTATGCAAACTTGGACAAGAAGTTTTCTGCTCTGCCCAGATGGAGTAGCATTCAGGAAAACTGAGGTCACTGAGTAGTTTCATTGCCTTCTGGTGAGGCGGTTTCTGCCACGTGCTGCTGTTCAGGGCTGCGTAGAAAATGGCCACCAGCTATTTGGCATTGATTTTTATTTTCCTTGAAAGATGAATAAAATAGAATGTCAATTACCAATGAAGTTCCTGAGGAGAGGGATGGAGATGTCAAAGCTGTACACAATGCGGGATTCCTGGATGACAGGACAAATGACAGAGCAGGCAGACAGGAGGCAGCAGAGGAATGCAGTGTCCACCCAGGACACCAGCTGAGCATTGTTGTAAAAGCATGTGAGCCTCTGCTTCTACAGGTCTGCTGAGATAAGCAAGGAGAAGGGGACTCAAGAGCTCACAGAGAGAGCAGAGGTGACCAACCAGCACTTCTGGGCACTGGAAGCATGATTACCTGTGCTCTGTCACATGCAGGTGAAACACAAACCACTGCTCCCAGATTGGGACCGCTGTCTGCCTGCCCAAAGTGGCACAGAGGGATTCTGGTGGCTGCCTATCACTGTTCCTACATGGCAAAGGGTAGCAGCAGAATGACACAAAACAGGCAACCTCTCTGCCAGGCATAAGCATGCACAGAGCTCAGCTTCCTGGCCTGGTTCATGCGGGCTGAATTAAAGCTGAAACAGCCAAGCCTTGGGATCTAGCTAGTTTTCAAGATCTATAAAAAGCTATTTAATAATCCCTGTTTCCTATCTGCCCTGAAACGATTAGAAAGATTTTATTCCAAGCATCTCCCTGGAGGCCCATTCTTCCCACTTGTCTTTTTTTATCTAAGAGTTTGTGGGACAGTTGACAGTGTGTGTGGAAGCAGTTGCAGTGCTGGCAGGCCGCTCTCCTCTCCTGGCTGGGCCTCCATAGCCCATGGAGAAGCTTGTCTGTTACAACTCACCCTGCAGCTATGAAACAAGGAGAGCGATATCGCTGTTTCAGCGCTGCCACCCCGTGGGGGAGATGGTTTCTGCTAGGTGAATATTTAACAACCTGGAGACTCAGTCACTGACCAAGTTCTTAGTAAATGACAAGGAGAATTTTGAAAAGCCACAGGAGTGGAGTGGACAAAATTAAAATAGCCAGCATTCAAAGGACAGGGTTAACGTGTCCACCGACCTCACCTGGGACTGGTAAAAAAAAGCAAACAACTAAATTGATGTTTGGTAGACAGTGGGTTCTGCTGGAAATGCTATGAGAAAAGTGCACCTAAAATTTTGTATAAGTGCAGTCCCACTTCCAGGCCCAGGCTGGGGAGCACTTACCCAGGCTCTCAGGACACCTGGTGGAAACGTGGAACTGGGGCACAGAGCTCAGCTCAGCATCAGGAGCACTTCATGCTCGGAGAATACAGATGTGAAAATTTATAGCTTCATCAGATGCCTACAAGGCTATATTCAGCTTCTCCTGTTGTTCCCTGACATAAATCCCAACCAGTGACGCCATTCCAACTCCTACAACCAGGCAATGTCCTGGACTGGAGCATTGTGAGAGCATGGTGGCAATCCTCAGCCTAATCTACAACATTCTGGGTTGTCTTAGGGTGAATGTTGCCAGCAGGTTAAGGAAGGTAATCCTTGCTTTCTAAATCCAGAGTGCCATGACAAGTTCTGGGCTTCTCTGTACAGAAGAGACATGGAGATACTGGACAGAGTCCAGCAAAGGTCCACTAAAATGACTACAGAATTGGAGGATCTCTCATACGAGGAGAGGCCAAGAGCTAGGGCTGCTGAACCTGGAGAAGCCTCAGGGGGAATCTTATCAATGTGTCTAAATATCTGATGAGAGGGAAGGAAGGGACTCAGATGCTTTTCAGTGGTGACCCGTGACAACAAGGCACACAAACCGAAATGTGACTTCAGTCCATCTGAAGACACATAACCACCTTTTTACTGTGAATGTGGCCAAATTCAGGAACAGGTTTCCCAAAGAAGCTGAGTTGTCTCCAGCTGCGATACTGAAAACCCAAAGAGATGCAGTCCTGGTCTGCCTGTTCCAGGTGACCTTGCTAAAGCAGGACTGGACTAGATGATCAAGAGGTCCTTTCCAACCCAACTGACTCTGTAAGGAAAAAAACATATACCAAAAGAAAAAAATGAGAGGGTGCAGTGCAGCGGGGAAGCTGGAATCCAAACCTACCCTTGTGTTTGTTTTACCCCCTGCAGCAGCAAACTCTCCTACAACATTAAAATTATTTCATCTGTGCTGATGGCATTAAAAGTGTGAAATAAGGTAGTGCTGAAAGCAAAGCCACTCCATGGTGACATGCACTGTGCTTTTCAGAATGAGAAAACACCCTCCATATTCACTTTGTGGGAGGTGTGATAAATTGCTTAGGATTAGCACATAAGGGTAACAATGTGCTTAGTCAGGGAAGGAAACAAACAGCCCAAGGAGAAAGAAACAGCTTTATTTAAGGAGTTAAAGTGAGGTCTTGAAGGATGAAGCCAGCAGTTGCCTGAGAAGTTGTGTTTCTGAGAAAGTGCAGTTCAATCCTTCCTGGCATAACACTCTCAGAGAAAAGAGCTGCTGGTGCCAGCAGGTTTATGTCAACTGAGAGGGGTCCTTGATTGCTCTCCATCCAATAGGACTCTAACCAGCTCCACACTAGGTGCCTGTCTTTCCCTAGTAAAGGGATCTTCCAAGTGCCAGTGGTAGAATACTGGCAGAGACTGCTGTCCTGGCTCTCTGCAGGAGTTAACACACCTCTTTTCCAAGGATGAGCCAGAACAAGTCAAAAAAAAAAAAAAAAAGTTTTAAGGTGCAGCTGATCTTTTCCCCCAACACTTGGACACAAGGAGAACTAGGTCCAGTAGGCTTTACTCCAGCCACAGCCATGATTGGTGATGCCCAAGCCAGCTTGAGTGTTACAGGGACTGGGCAGCACTGTCTAGTGGAAAGACTCACAAGTGTGACTGACTGTTCCTCTTGCAAGAATAAGCCCAGGCACCACCCAGAGCAAACATTAACCTTGCTGTGCCTAGCAACTTCCCTCCATAAACAAAAGTGATGCCTGGCTTACAGCCAAGTCAAAGACAATTAGATTCCAAAAAGAATCATCCCTGATGGATCAGTACCATGATTTCGATGGCTACGTATGAGTAGCTGCCTTCAACCAGCCTGAATGCCACTGTTCCTCAAGCCACAGGCACCCACTATCACTGACAAACGCTGATCATGCAATGATTAGAAACAGAGCTGCTCTGCTGGCACTGGACTGGGTTTTGCAGTTTCCACTTTCACTGACAAGGCAATGGCCAAACAGGCTCCTTCACAGGTGCTCAGTTCTTCCACCGGATTTGCTAAAAGAGAGAACAAGACATGACTAACAGCAATGCTGAACACAGATCCCTTAGGGGCCAAGTTAGTGACTCCCAAACCCTGACAAGGACAGCTATGACCAGAGGGTGCACTTTCCAATAGTATAACTATTTATTCCTATGCTGAATGCAACCCCAAACATAAGATTAGCTTCCCAGCAGGAACAGAAAGTATGTAGGACAACCATGCCCTTACACCTTATCTATGTCTATTTCTGATGAGAGTCTTTGGAAGAAAATGTAAACACTTCTTACCATGTTGTTAAGAATACTGTTTATCTTCTCTTCTTCTGCAGAGCCCCGCTCCACCTTGCACTTATATGCTGTCAGTTGGATACGATCCTTTAGATCCCTGTAGGTCTAGATAAACAGCAAAACCAACACCCAGCTGAGTGGACACTTCCACAGTTGGTGCCCTGCAGATGAGCAGGGCAACTCTACAATCCCCCATCAAGTTCCCAACACAGAACAATTTCATAACACAAATACTAGGAGTCACTCTCTTGGCTCACTGGACTTCCACTGGGAACTTTTTCACTTTTCCCAGGCCACAGGGATCAAGAAACCTCACCAGGCACATGACAGCAATGGCATGTGGCAGAGCACAGAAAAGCTAAGAGAGAAAAAGCAGGCTCATATCCCATCTCTTCACACACACAGCAGGCGCCTACCTCAATGACAACATCATGGCACTTGTATTTGGTAGCAAGGTTCAACCGGGTCTCCACATCCTCCACCAGGCGCACGTACTCCTGCAGCACCTGCCCCAGATGGAAAAATGTCTCAGCTCCCTTCTGCAGGTACCTCTTGCCTTGTTCTCTCACCTTAGTCCCAAAACCTTTCAAGGTTGCTGGTCACACAGACTTGACCCTGTCCTTCCTAAGGGAACAAGTGACCTGGAAAAGACTGTTCAGGACCCCAGAGGCAGTAAAGCTTTGCTGACAAAGCTCAGAGTCTTAGGCTACCTCCTTCTATGGATCAGGTTAACCATTGCCAGCCAGATTAGGCAAGAGAAAATTTGATGTAGCAAAGAAAGGTGGCAATGCACAAAGGGAGAGAGTTCACACTTGCAGTCAGACTTAGGACCCAGCCCTCACTATCACCCACACTTCCTGTTGATGCATGGGTTGCTCAGCCAAGTGCTGTGCCCACCCGGCAGAGCCAGCAGCTTGGCAAACTGTTCTCCCACTCCAAACTAGGAAGCAGCTCACTTAGGGAATTATTAAAACACCAAATCCTAACAAAGGGCAAGAGGACATAAGCAGTGCTTCCTTGTTTACCTGCACAGGAGCATTGTTCCTCTGCAACATCTCCACAACCCGGTGGAAGCCAATAGGTGCCTTCTTCTTGGTGTAGCCCAGCCAGTTCTGAAAAAAGAACCATACCTATGTTAAACTAGAAGGGCAATTCCTCCAACCACAAGAAAATGCTTTTTTCCTAGTGCCAGCAACATACTGTACCAGCCACCAAATGCACTGTCATGGTTTCGCTGGTTCTTAGAAACTAAGCAGGAATTTTTTCCTCCCCCCCCCTGCCCCCTGTGTGGAGGGAATGTTGAATGGGGAGTTAAGTAACACAAAAGAAGTTGCTGGTAAGGCCACATTCCTAGCTGATGGCCCTCAGAACCTTGTCTTTGGGGAGGGGGGAGGAGTTTCTTTTTACTTTTTTTCCTCTTGTCTCCTGGGGAACAGGGGGGAGGAGTTCAGGTTGGCTGCTGGAGCTGGAACGAGCTCAGAGTGCTTTTTGTTCTCAGCCTGGCTGTCAGCTGTGGATTCTGCTTGGATTTTCATTGGAGAGGAACTGTTTTGGGAGGTTTTCCCTTCTCCATTCCCGTTTGTTTCTTTCTTGGCAGCAGTTCTTGTGCACAAAGGGAGAGGGAAAAACTATACTGCACAATTCAGCCAGCAGAACAGAGTGAGTTCCTGTTGGGAAGGACTTTTTTTTTTTTGTTCTTTTTTTTCTCTCCCTCCTCTCTCTCCCCTTTCCCAGTGTGGGGAAGGGAAATGCATTTTTGGTTTCTCCAGTACACCCAGGAGGGTGTCTCCAACGTGGCAACGACCAGTGATCCAACAGTGCCCCCTGCTGACTGTGGTTAGAATTGCACCAAAGGGTGCAAACTGAACTGTTTACCTTTTTCTTTCTTTATTGGTTTATTTTGAAGGGGATTATTTGTGGGTATAGGAGTATTGTTTGGTTGTTTTACTTGTTTTCTTTCATTGCTTCTGCCAATCTACATATATCTTTTAATAAAAGGCTATTATTTTTCCTTATCCACACTTTTTTTTTTCCCTCA